CTATCTCCCTTGACCCTTTAAGCAATGTTTTCTCAAAGGGCGCTACAGCCAGGGTTGAGGATTTCGGGTTCCTATACGAGTATTGTCATCATCGTGAGGATTCTTTCGGGATGATGGGGCTTTACAATGTTTTACCGTAAGGGTCATTGCAAGCGTTAGTATGATAAGGATGCAGAAAGGGTCGTTACAAGGGTAATTAGAAGCGTCATACCATGAGGGTTCCTACTGTCGGGTTACCACAGGCTTTAGGGTCTGGGATGTAGGATGGCCTTCCAAGGCAGAATCCATTCAATTGGGCCTGTAGGGTTTAGAGTTCTCGGTCCTTGGATGTTTGCATTTAGGGCCTTTGGGGCTTGGACTTTGAGAGGTTGAGGTTTGAGGGTGTAGGCTTTACAGCCGGCCCAGTCCCATCCCAAGCGTAGGTTCGGCGTCGGCTTCTACAGCGCGTATCTCGTCTCCGACAAGGTCCGCGTCGTCAGCAAGCACAACGATGACGAGCGGCTCGTCAAAACCAAGTCTGAAGGGCGATATCTTCTCCAAGATGAAACGTGCCAGGCGTAATCCGTCCGTTGGTTGTCCTGTCAGTGGCTCGTGCTTTAGACCGTAATCTGCGGATGGGGTTGTCAAGCAAGTTCTCCCTGTCTTAGAGCGAAGTGCTTCCCCTTTGGAAGGGACTGCGCCTTCCCGTCGCCTGCGGCTGGGGGCTTTCCAACATAAGTGGCGAGGCAGTACATCTGGGAGAGCGGCGCCGGCGGATCCTTCACCGTGCAGAAGGCCGTCGTGCATGTGGTCATTCTGTTTTTTTGAGTTGGGGAGCTTCTTCACTAGGCGATGACTGAAGAACTAAGCCGAAGTAGGCGGCAGTTCGCACACGCAGAAAGCAGGTTCAGAGGTCTTCAGGACATATCAGGGCTGGTGCTTGCATAGTGGTATCCCGCCCGGGAACGATGACTGAACAAATAAGCAGAAGTAGGCGGCAGTTCGCACACGCAGAATCAGAAAGCAGGTTCAGAGGTCTTCAGGACATTTCAGGGCTGGTGCTTGCATAGTGGTATCCCGCCCGGGAACGATGACCGAAGAACTAGGCAGAAGTAGGCGACAGTTCGCACACGCAGAAAGCAGGTTCAGAGGTCTTCAGGACATATCAGGGCTGGTGCTTGCATCGTGGTATCCCGGAAGTGTCACAAGAGGACACCGAGCTGGTGCACGGCGAGATCAAGCGAGGTACGAAGATTATCTGCTACCTCAAGGAAGACCAGTCCGAGTTCCTGGAGGACGCTGAAGTTTGAATCTCATCTGCCGCTGCGCTCCCAATTGCCAAACCTCCAAGCCTTCGTCGCCGACTATGGTTTGCATTAGCAGTTGCTGCACAGGAGCGACGCTTGAAAGACTTGGTGAAGAAGCACTCCGAGTTCATCGGCTTCCCCATCGAGCTGTACGTGGAGAAGTCCAAGGAGAAGGAGGTGACTGCCGCTTCGCAGCACATATACTGCTGCCCGGGATGACAGCCGGGATCCCCACCACAACATCGCCAGATCACCACAAGCCCGGGACCCCAGAAGATCTCTACTTGAGCCTGGGGCATTACCCAGGACTCCGAGGAGGAAGAGGAGGAGAAGAAGGACGAGAAAGAGGGTGCCGGCTGGGGGAGGGGCAAAGGTTGCAAAGCGGGTACTGGCTGGGAAATTGCCGGGTCTGCATATTTAGTATAGGTGCTGATCTTGGACCGTAATTTCTTGTCTTAAAGCTCTGCCCCAACTACTCCAGCAGGCGTATCTACTTAACGAATCGCGGCACCAGGTGACGAGCCCAAGATCGAGGAAGTGGATGAGGACACGTCCGGGGCGGGTTTAGGGCTGTTGAGGGTTTTAAAGGTCGGGGTTCTGAGTCTGGCAGCAGAATTCCTGTTTGCGCTTGCGCTGTTAACGAAGGAGCTCGGAGTAGCATGCCTGAACAAGATTGTATGTCTTAACGAAGGGAGCGGGGCATGCCTGAACAAGAACAACACCTTTGACGAAGGAGAAGGAGAAAGAGGAGAAGAAAAAGAAGACCAAGACGCTCGGCGGATGAGTGGAAACGGCTCTAAACTGCTTCCCTGACATCATTCCATAGAGTCATTCGGTCGACAGGGAATGGCAAAACCCACAGAAGCGCTAGAATTTCGTATTGCCTTGTCTAAAGTTCACGGAACACCTGTCCTGAGCTAAGGAAGGTGAAGGAGGTCTCGCACGAGTGGGAGCGGCTTGCCGGGTGACAGGTTTGCGATGATTTGCTGGAAGTTTTTAGGCAAAGGCTTTGAGGTTGCTTCACAGAATTTAAGATATGGGTGAGGGGTGGCAGGGTGTCGGCATGCAATCAGAATCTCCAACGTGACACTCCAAGTAGCTGAACTCCCAAGCCATGGACAACGGTTCCCTGCATGTCGTTAGGCAGCTGAACAAGAACAAGCCTCTCTGGATGCGCAAGTCCGAAGACGTCACCAACGAGGAGTATGCTTCCTTCTACAAGTCGCTGTCCAACGACTGGGAGGACAGGTCAGTTTGAAGGATTGACGCTCACCCGTACACCCCGCACACCTCATCACAGGTAAAGGTTGAAGGCCAGGACATGCCTGTCGCATGAAAAGCTTCTCTGCAAGTTGTTGGTAGGACCACCTCGCGGTGAAGCACTTCAGCGTCGAGGGCCAGCTGGAGTTCCGTGCGCTGCTCTTCGTTCCCCGCCGGGCGCCCTTTGATCTCTTCGAGAGCAAGAAGAAGCGCAACAACATCAAGCTGTACGTGCGTCGTGTCTTCATCATGGACGACTGCGAGGAGCTGATGCCAGAGTGGCTGAACTTCGTGAAGGGCGTGGTGGACTCGGAGGACCTGCCTCTGAACATCTCCCGCGAGACCCTGCAGCAGAACAAGATCCTGCGAGTCATCAAGAAGAATCTGGTGAAGAAGTGCCTCGAGATGTTCGCAGAGATCGCTGAGAAGAAGGACGACTACAAGAAGTTCTACGAGCAGTTCGGCAAGTGCCTGAAGCTGGGCGTCCATGAGGACTCCACGAACCGCACCAAGGCGGGCCACGCATTTGCATCGACTAAGTTGAACTTGGTTCCTGTAGATTTTCCGCCTCCGGACACTTTACGACTTTACGATGTTGAAGTCGCATGAAACAAAGCAAGCGTCATTCTCCTTTCGTCTTTGCCAGTTGGCGGAGCTCCTCCGCTACCACACCTCCAAGTCTGGAGACGAGCAGATCAGCCTGACCCTGGGACTGGAATCTGAATCGAGTGCTTCAGAGTGGGTTTTTCGAGTTGAAGTTCACAGAACCCGATGAGCGTGAACATGCCTGCATAATAAGCAGCCTCAGTCACTGTCACCTGAAGCCTGGGGCCTTTGGGACAGGGACAGGGTTTTGAAGAAAGATAGAACCTAAAAGCGCAGCTGTCGGCACATGATCAGAAGTACGGCCCCCATCTTAGGAAGGAGTATGTCGACCGCATGAAGGAGGGACAGAACGACATCTATTACATCACAGGCGCCCGTTTGAATGAGAGCCGTCATAAGTGCAGTGGAATTCGGTTAGATGATCGTAGTGCTCCAACCGGATCAGGTGAGAGCATCGCGGCGGTATCTTCCTCTCCATTCCTGGAGACCCTGCGAAAGAAGGGCATCGAGGTGCCTCAACGAAAGCCGCCTGAGCTTGGACTGTACGCAGCTTAGGTAAGGTTTCAGGATGGATTCAAACTTGCACTCGTCGGTACGGTAGGTGCTTTACATGATCGACCCCGTCGACGAGTACTCCGTGCAGCAGCTGAAGGAGTTCGATGGCAAGAAGCTGAAATCCACCACGAAAGAGGGTCTGGACATCGAGGATGAGGACGAGAAGAACCTCGGAAGCACGTAGTAGGTTTGTGCTTTCTTTCTGAAGTCATGTGGCAGCTTACTTCGTTTCAGTAGTTCCCTGATGTCCAAGGAAGAAGCTGGAGGAGATGAAGGCCGAGTTTGAGCCTCTCACCAAGCTGATGAAGGAAGTCCTCGGAGACAAGGTGGAGAAGGTCATCATTAGCTCCAGGATGGCCGACTCCCCTTGCGTGCTGACCACCTCCGAGTACGGCTGGTCTGCCAACATGGAGCGCATCATGAAGGCCCAGGCGCTGCGCGACAACTCCATGACTTCCTACATGGTCTCCAAGAAGACCATGGAGGTGAACCCGAAGCACTCCATCATGGCGGAGCTGAAGAAGAAGGCCGCTGCCGACAAGTCTGACAAGACGGTGAAGGACCTGATCTGGCTTCTCTTCGACACCTCCCTGCTCACCTCCGGCTTCAACCTGGACGAGCCCACCCAATTCGCTGGCCGCATCCACCGCATGATCAAGCTCGGCCTGAGCATCGACGATGACGATGAGGGCCTGGGCGACGACGATGACCTGCCCCCGCTTGAGGAAGTTGAGGGCGCGGCCGACGAGGCCTCCAAGATGGAGGAGGTCGACTAGGACTAGGATGTTTGAGCCACCCAGTAGTTCGTACCGCAGCCGTCGGTGCGCACTTGTGCATGATCCCCTCAACACAGTCTCCAGATTCGGTCGACTGTACAGCAGGCAGAGTCTGGCGAGAAACCTGATTCAGAGGATCGACTGCGAAGAGAAAGTGCCGCGACATTGCAAAAGGTGGGGCCTCAGGTTGCACAACCCCGGTGAGCCGTCGATGAGAGAGGTTTCCGGGTTGTTGTCTCGTCCATCGAGCTCGTAGGCTGAGCTCGTAGGCTGAGGTGTGGCTTCGCAGCACCATCGGCTCAAGTTTTGTCTTTCACGGACGTCTGACTAGCTCGAAAAGCTCCGACGACTGCGGGCTGTGAACTATTATTCTTCAATTGGGGCGGGTGGGAGGATTTCTTTTCAATTTAACCTTTCGTTCAAGAGGAGACCGGGGATCTTGGCTTTGCGGAACGTGGGGGGAGGGGTGGGGGGGTGGTGCGGCGGCACTGCTTTTGTCACAGAAGCAAGGACAATCATGGCGGAGACTTTCGCATTCAATGCAGACATCCAACAGCTGATGAGTTTCTCGGCAGATTCCCAGCAGGTAGACTTGCCGTCACGCATCGTCGGCGTATCTCTAGGAACCGACAGGTTCTTGGTATGTAGTCCCGCTACAGATCTACGGTTCATAAACAGATGCTCGAAAGGATAGGGCTCCGGGGCATGCCGCGTAGGTGATGCGGATGAGCAGCACTTCGCAGCACACAGCTTGTGATCATAGCTTCTACCAGTTGCTGAGGCTTGATCATCAATACCTTCTACTCCAACAAGGAGATCTTCCTGCGAGAGCTCATCTCCAATGCCTCGGATGCAGCTCGAAGCAGCGAGTGCAGTGATTCAGAATCGAGCCCATTAAGTGATTTGCGTCGGACTGGGCATTCAGTTGATTTCTTGGCGGTGGCCTCCTCACCGGTAGACTACCTTACAGCCCCGAACCAAAGATCTCAAGCACAGGCTCTGGACAAGATTCGCTACGAATCGATCACGGATCCAGACAAGATCGAGGCAGGGAGTGTGAGGAGTGTGTGGGTCCTAATCCCCTTCAACAGTTGGGCTCTCAGATACGGGTTTATCACATAGGCCTGCTGAGCAGTAGCAGCAGCCGCGAGAAGAGTTGGAGCTGCGAGGGTTGGCATTGACAGGATTTTGTAGAGAAGCTGTCAGGTCAAGTAGCGACAGGCGACAGGCGAAGTGCCTTAGTTGTCCTGAGAAGCGATGCATCGATGAGCTTCGCAAGTAAGTGCAGGCGCAGCCCAACTTCTTCATCAAAGCTCCTGGGCCCGTTTCGGATTCGTGTGATTGGACTGGGCAGCCGCAATGTAGGATTTCTAGGCAGGGTCGATGCCTGTGAGTCTTCGCGCTCAGTGGCTGCGGTTTGTTCAAGTGTGCATCTGAGATCATCCCGGACAAGACCAATTCGACTTTGACCATCGAAGACTCCGGCATCGGCATGACCAAGAACGTTCCTCGACCTTTAGCAACTGGGAGGTTGCGATGCTCTCCGCTTGGGCCCGGGTGGCATGTAATAGCAGAACATGTAAAAGGCACTACCACAAGATTTATGCCTAGCATTTTTGTGTCGTGCCGTTTGAGGTCACACCAAAGAAGCAGTCAGAACACGAGTGCTTCCTGAGGAATTGATCAACAACCTCGGGACCATCGTGGCTCGATCGACTCTGTGTTTCAGGTTGAGGTTTGGGCTTCTTGTAGAACTGGATGCGCCAAAGCAGCAAGACTCGAGTCCCAAGCTCCACAGCTCTGCAACCTCTTCCCCAATCGAGTACTGAGGCCAAGTCTGGCACCAAAGCCTTCATGGAGGCCAGGAGCAAATGGGTCTTGGGTTGTGGCTTGAAACGCTTCCGAGCCGCGTGTCTTGGACACGATCACAAGCCCTGGAAGGCCATGGCGGCCGGCGGCGACATCTCCATGATTGGCCAGCTTCTGGGACGCAACGGTTTACATCGACAGTCTCTCTGGTCTAAGTAAGATGCGCGGCGGGTCGTGGAAGATGAGGAGTGCAGGGACTGTAGCATTGCTAGAACCAGCCTTTGTGTGCCCGCTGCCTGTGCTGATCGTATGGCTCTCCCCGCCTCTCACCCTGACTGTGTAGCCTGCCCAGTCCCATCTCGATCAGGTTCGGCGTCGGCTTCTACAGCGCATACCTCGTCTCGGACAAGGTCCGCGTCGTCAGCAAGCACAACGACGACGAGTGGCTCGTCAAAACAAGCCTGCAAAGAGATCTGCATTCGGAGACGAAAGGTGCCAGGCGTGCAAACTCGGCGGTTTTTCGTGTCTTTGCTTTATAGTGGTAGTCGGCTTTGGGCAGTCTTTGGTAGTGTTTCGGCTGCCTCGCATGGAGGCATCGATTTGGTGCCTTCGGATAGTTTGACCATGTTTGGTCTTGTCAAGCAAGCTTTCTCTTTTCAGCGCAAAATCCAGCCCATTTTGGGCTAAGAAGCGGCAGAGACTGACTTTTTTTGCGTCGTCAGCGGCTAAGGGCTTTCCAAACAATCGTATCGAGGCAGTACATCTTGACTCAGCAAAGGGCCCATTTTGGGCCATTTGGAAGGGAATGCTGGGGGCTTTCCAAAACCTTTGCGAGGCAGTACATCTGGGAGAGCGGTGCCGGCGGATCCTTCACCGTGCAGAAGGCCGGCGTGCATGTGATCATTCTGTTTTCTTGAGCTGGGGAGCTTCTTCGCTGAGCGATGACTGAAGAACTAAGCCGAAGTAGGTCAAAATGCTGGCAGTTCGCTCACGCAGACCGCAGGTTCAGAGGTCTTCAGGATATTTCAGGGCTGGTGCTTGCATAATGTCGGAAGTCACGAGAGGACACCGAGCTGGTGCACGGCGAGATCAAGCGAGGTACGAAGATTATCTGCTACCTCAAGGAAGACCAGTCCGAGTTCCTGGAGGACGCTGAAGTTTGAGTCTCATCCGCCGCTGCACAGATGCAACAGATGATCCTTTTCGTTCAGTGAGGGAGAAGAAGATGCCCGCCATTACATAATCCCAATCGCCAAACCTCCAAGCCTTCGTCGCCGACTATGGTTTGCGTTAGCAGTTGCTGCGCAGGAGCGACGCTTGAAGGACTTGGTGAAGAAGCACTCCGAGTTCATCGGCTTCCCCATCGAGCTGTACGTGGAGAAGTCCAAGGAGAAGGAGGTGACTGCCGCTTCGCAGCACAGCCACCGCCCGCGGTGACAGCGGGGATCCCCGCCTCAACATCACCAGATCACCACAAGCCCGGGACCCTGCAGATCTCTGCTTGAGCCTGGGGCGTTACCCAGGACTCCGAGGAGGAAGAGGAGGAGAAGAAGGACGAGAAAGAGGGTGCCGGCTGGGGGAGGGGCACGGGTTGCAAAGCGGGTACTGGTTTGGAAATTGCCGGGTCTGCATAGTTAGTATAGGTGCCGGTCTTGGACCGTAATTTCTCGTCTTAAAGCTCTGCCCTAACTACTTCAATAGGCGTATCTACTTATAACGAATCGCGGCGCCAGGTGACGAGCCCAAGATCGAGGAAGTGGATGAGGACACGTCCGGGGCGGGTGTATAGGGCTGTTGAGGGTTTTAAGGTCGGGGGTCTGAGTGTGGCGTCAGAATTCCTGTTTGCGCTTGCGCTGTTAAAGAAGGAGCTCGGAGTAGCAATGCTTGAACAAGATTGTATGTCTTAACGAAGGGAGCGGGGCATGCTTGAACAAGAACAACACACTCTTAACGAAGGAGAAGGAGAAAGAGGAGAAGAAAAAGAAGACCAAGACGCTCGGCGGATGAGTGGAAACGGCTTTGAACTGCATCTCTGACATCATTCCATAGAGTCATTCGGTCGACGGAGAATGGCAAAACCCGCAGAAGCGCTAGAATTTCGGATTGCCTTGTCTACAGTTCACGGAACACCTGCACTGAGCTAAGGAAGGTGAAGGAGGTCTCGCACGAGTGGGAGCGGCTTGGCGGGTGACAGGTTTGCTGGAAGATTTTAGGCAAAGGCTTTGAGGTTGCTTCACAGAATTTAAGATATGGGTGAGGGGTGGCAGGGTGTCGGCATGCAATCAGAATCTCCAACGTGACACTCCAAGTAGCTGGACTCCCAAGCCATGGACAACGGTTCCCTGCATGTCGTTAGGCAGCTGAACAAGAACAAGCCTCTCTGGATGCGCAAGTCCGAAGACGTCACCAACGAGGAATATGCTTCCTTCTACAAGTCGCTGTCCAACGACTGGGAGGACAGGTCAGTTTGAAGGGTTGACGCTCACCCGTGTACCCCGCACCCCTCATCACAGGTAAAGGTTTAAGGCTGGGACATGCCTGTCGCATGAAAAGCTTCTCTGCAAGTTGTTGGTAGGACCACCTCGCGGTGAAGCACTTCAGCGTCGAGGGCCAGCTGGAGTTCCGTGCGCTGCTCTTCGTTCCCCGCCGAGCGCCCTTTGACCTCTTCGAGAGCAAGAAGAAGCGCAACAACATCAAGCTGTACGTGCGTCGTGTCTTCATCATGGACGACTGCGAGGAGCTGATGCCAGAGTGGCTGAACTTCGTGAAGGGCGTGGTGGACTCGGAGGACCTGCCTCTGAACATCTCCCGCGAGACCCTGCAGCAGAACAAGATCTTGCGAGTCATCAAGAAGAATCTTGTGAAGAAGTGCCTCGAGATGTTTGCAGAGATCGCTGAGAAGAAGGACGACTACAAGAAGTTCTACGAGCAGTTCGGCAAGTGCCTGAAGCTGGGCGTCCATGAGGACTCCACCAACCGCACTAAGGTGGGCCACGCATTTGCATCGACGAGGTTGAACTGGTTTCTGTAGTTTTTCCGCTTCCGGACACTTTACGACTTTACGATGTTGAAGTCGCATGAAACAAAGCAAGTGTCATTCTCCTTTCGTCTTTGCCAGTTGGCCGAGCTCCTCCGCTACCACACCTCCAAGTCTGGAGACGAGCAGATCAGCCTGACCCTGGGACTGGAATCTGAATCGAGTGCTTCAGAGTGTGTTTTTCGACTTGAAGTTCACAGAACCCGATGAGCGTGCACATGCCTGCATAATAAGCAGCCTCAGTCACTGTCACCTGAAGCTTGGGGCCTTTGGGACAGGGACAGGGTTTTGAAGAAAGATAGAACCTAAAAGCGCAGCTTTCGGCGCATGATCAGAAGTACAGCCCCCTTGTCTCAGGAAGGAGTATGTCGATCGCATGAAGGAGGGACAGAACGACATCTATTATATCACAGGCGCCGGTTTGAACGAGAGCCGTCATAAGTGCAGTGGACTTCGGTTAGATGTCTTGGAGATCATAGTGCTCCAACCGGGTCAGGTGAGAGCATCGCGGCGGTATCTTCCTCTCCTTTCCTGGAGACCCTGCGAAAGAAGGGCATCGAGGTGCCTCAACCCTACACCACGTGAGCTTAGACTGTACGCAGCTTAGGTAAGGTTTCAGGATGGATTCAAACTTGCACTCGTCGGTACGGTAGGTGCTTTACATGATTGACCCCGTCGACGAGTACTCCGTGCAGCAGCTGAAGGAGTTCGATGGCAAGAAGTTGAAATCCACCACCAAGGAGGGTTTGGACATCGAGGACGAGGACGAGAAGAACCTTGGAAGCGTCGGTTCTTGGCTTCTGCTTTTGTCATGGTGTCGGGCCGGCAACCTGCTTCTTGTCAGTAGTTCCCTGATGTGTAAGGAAGAAGCTGGAGGAGATGAAGGCCGAGTTTGAGCCTCTCACGAAGTTGATGAAGGAAGTCCTCGGAGACAAGGTGGAGAAGGTCATCGTTAGCTCCAGGATGGCCGACTCCCCTTGCGTGCTGACCACCTCCGAGTACGGCTGGTCTGCCAACATGGAGCGCATCATGAAGGCCCAGGCGCTGCGCGACAACTCCATGACTTCCTACATGGTCTCCAAGAAGACCATGGAGGTGAACCCGAAGCACTCCATCATGGCGGAGCTGAAGAAGAAGGCCGCTGCCGACAAGTCGGACAAGACGGTGAAGGACCTGATCTGGCTTCTCTTCGACACCTCCCTGCTCACCTCGGGCTTCAACCTGGACGAGCCCACCCAATTCGCTGGCCGCATCCACCGCATGATCAAGCTCGGCCTGAGCATCGACGATGACGATGAGGGCCTGGGCGACGACGATGACCTGCCCCCGCTTGAGGAAGTTGAGGGCGCGGCCGACGAGGCCTCCAAGATGGAGGAGGTCGACTAGGACTAGGATGTTTGAGCCACCCAGTAGTTCGTACCGCAGCCGTCGGTGCGCACTTGTGCATGATCCCCTCAACACAGTCTCCAGATTCGGCCGACTGTACAGCAGGCAGAATGTGGAAGAAACCTGATTCAGAGGATCGACTGCGAACAGAAAGTGCCGAGACATTGCACGGGTGGGGCCTCAGGTTGCACAACCCCGGTGAGCCGTCGATGAGAGGTTTCCGGGTTGTTGTCTGCTGCGTCCATCGAGCTCGTAGAAGGAGGCGTGGCTTCGCAGCACCATCGGCTCAAGTTTTGTCTTTCACGGACGTCTGACTAGCTCGAAAAGCTCCGACGACTGCTGGCTGTGAATTCGGCGGGTAACCCTTCGTTCAAGAGGATTCTGATGATTTTGGTTTTGCGGAAGCGGGGGGCACTGTTTTCGTCACAGCAGCAAGGACAATCATGGCGGAGACTTTCGCATTCAATGCAGACATCCAACAGCTGATGAGTTTCTCGGCAGGTTCCCAGCAGGTAGACTTGCCGTCATGCATCGTCCGCATATCTCTAGGAACCGACAGGTTCTTGGTATATAGTCCTGCTACAGATCTACGCCGGGGCATGCCGTGTAGGTGATGCGCATGAGCAGCACTTCGCAGCACGCAGCTTGTGAGCATAGCTTCTACCAGTTGCCGAGGCTTGATCATCAATACCTTCTACTCCAACAAGGAGATCTTCCTGCGAGAGCTCATCTCCAATGCCTCGGATGCAGCTCGAAGCAGCGAGTGCAGTGATTCAGGATCGAGCCCATTAAGTGATTTGCGTCGGACTGGGCATTTCGTTGATTTCTTGGCGGTGGCCTCCTCACGGGTAGACTACCTTACAGCCCCAAACCAAAAATCGTGAGCACAGGCTCTGGACAAGATTCGCTACGAATCGATCACGGATCCAGACAAGATCGAGGCAGGGAGTGTGAGTGTGACTCTCACGTACGGGCTTATCGCACAGGTCTACTGAGTAGCAGTAGCCACGAGAAGAGTTGGAGCAGCGAGAGGTTGGCACTGACAGAATGTAGTATATAAAAGAAGTTGTCAGGTCAGGCAGCGACAGGCCATAGGCGACAGGCGAAGTGCCTTTGTTGTCCTGAGAAACGATGCATCGATAAGCTTCTCAACTGCAGGCGCAGCCCAACTTCTTCATCAAAGCTCCTGGGCGCGTTTCGTATTCGTGCGGTTGGACTGGGCATGCACCGCGTAGGACTTCTATGCAGGGTCGATGCCTGTGACTCTTCGCTCAGTGGCTGCGGTTTGTTCAAGTGTGGATCTGAGATCATCCCGGACAAGACCAATTCGACTTTGACCATCGAAGACTCCGGCATCGGCATGACCAAGAACGTTCCTCGACCTTGAGCAAATGGGAGGTTGCGATACTCTCGTCTTCGGCCCGGGTGGCACGTAGTAGCAGAACCTGTAGAAGGCACTTTTACAAGAGGAATGCTAGCATTTTTGCGTCGTTTGCAGGTCGAGGTCACGCCAAAGAAGCAGTCTGAACACGAGCGCTTCCTGAGGAATTGATCAACAACCTCGGGACCATCGTGGCTCGATCGACTCTGTGTTGTTCCCTTGTTTCAGGTTGAGGTTTTGGGCTTCTTGTAGAACTGGATGCCCCCATGCAGCAAGACTCGAGTCCCAAGCTCCACAGCCCTGCAACCTCTTCCCAATCGAGTACTGAGGCCAAGTCAGGCACCAAAGCCTTCATGGAGGCCAGGAGCAAATGGGTCTTGGGTTGTGGCTTGAAACACGTGTCTTGGACGCCATCACAAGCCCTGGAAGGCCATGGCGGCCGGCGGCGACATCTCCATGATTGGCCAGCTTCTGGGATGCAACTGTTTATATCGACAGTCTCTCTGGTCTAAGTAAGATGCGCGGGTCGTGGAAGATGTGGAGTGCAGGGACTGTAGCCTTGCTAGAACCAGCCTTTGTGTGGCACTTTCGCCCGCTGCCTGTGCTGATCGTATGGCTCTCCCTGCCTCTCACCCTGACACTGTAGCCTGCCCAGTCCCATCCCGATCAGGTTCGGCGTCGGCTTCTACAGCGCATACCTCGTCTCGGACAAGGTCCGCGTCGTCAGCAAGCACAACGACGACGAGTGGCTCGTCAAAACAAGCCTGCAAAGAGATCTGCATTCGGAGACGAAGGTGCCAGGCATGCAAACTCGGCGGTTTTTCGTGTTTTTGCTTTATAGTGGTAGTCGGCTTTGGGCAGTCTTTAGTAGTGTTTCGGCTGCATCGCACGGAGGCAGCGATTTGGTGCCTTCGGATAGCTTGGCAATGTTTGGTCTTCTCGCGCAAAATTCAGCCCATTTTGGGCTAAGAGGCAAAGACTGGCTTTTTTCGTCGTCAGCGGCTAGGGGCTTTCCAAACAATCGTATCGAGGCAGTACATCTTGACTTGGAGCAAAGGGCCCATTTTGGGCCATTTGGAAGAGACTGAGCCTTCCGGTCGCCTGCAGCTGGGGGCTTTCCACAACATTTGCGAGGCAGTACATCTGGGAGAGCGGCGCCGGCGGATCCTTCACCGTGCAGAAGGACGGCGTGCATGTGGTCATTCTGTTTTCTTGAGTTGGGGAGCTTCAAAGCAGAAGTAGGCGGCAGTTCGCACACGCAGACCGCAGGTTCAGAGGTCTTCAGGATATTTCAGGGCTGGTGCTTGCACAGTGGTATCATTTCGGAAGTCACGAGAGGACACCGAGCTGGTGCACGGCCAGATCAAGCGAGGTACGAAGATTATCTGCTACCTCAAGGAAGACCAGTCCGAGTTCCTGGAGGACGCTGAAGTTTGAGTCTCATCCGCCGCTGCAAAGATGCAACAGATGATCCTTTTCGTTCAGTGAGGGAGAAGAAGATACCTGCCCGCCATTTCATACTCCCAATCGCCAAACCTCCCAGCCTTCGTCGCCGACTATGGTTTGCGTCAGCAGTTGCTGCGCAGGAGCGACGCTTGAAGGACTTGGTGAAGAAGCACTCCGAGTTCATCGGCTTCCCCATCGAGCTGTACGTGGAGAAGTCCAAGGAGAAGGAGGTGACTGCCGCTTCGCAGCACATCTACTGCTGCCCGCGGTGACAGCCGGAATCCACACCCCAACATCACCAGATCACCACAAGCCCGGGACCCTGCAGATCTCTACTTGAGCCTGGGGCGTTACCCAGGACTCCGAGGAGGAAGAGGAGGAGAAGAAGGACGAGAAAGAGGGTGCCGGCTGGGGGAGGGGCAGGGGTTGCAGAGCGGGTGCTGGTTTGGAAATTGCCGGGTCTGCATAATTAGTATAGGTGCCGGTCTTGGACCGTAATTTCTCGTCTTAAAGCTCTGCCCTAACTACTTCAATAGGCGTATCTACTTATAACGAATCGCGGCACCAGGTGACGAGCCCAAGATCGAGGAAGTGGATGAGGAGCTGTCCGGGGCGGGTTTAGGGCTGTTGAGGGTTTCAAGGTCGGGGGTCTGAGTGTGGCAGCAGAATTCCTGTTTGCGCTTGCGCTTTTAACGAAGGAGCTCGGAGTAGCATATCTGAACAAGATTGTATGTCTTAACGAAGGGAGGGGGACATGCCTGAACAAGAACAACACACTCTTAACGAAGGAGAAGGAGAAAGAGGAGAAGAAAAAGAAGACCAAGACGCTCGGCGGATGAGTGGAAACGGCTTTGAACTGCATCTCTGACATCATTCCATAGAGTCATTCGGTCGACGGAGAATGGCAAAACCCGCAGAAGCGCTAGAATTTCGGATTGCCTTGTCTACAGTTCACGGAACACCTGCACTGAGCTAAGGAAGGTGAAGGAGGTCTCGCACGAGTGGGAGCGGCTTGGCGGGTGACAGGTTTGCTGGAAGATTTTGGGCAAAGGCTTTGAGGTTGCTTCACAGAATTTAAGATATGGGTGAGGGGTGGCAGGGTGTCGGCATGCAATCAGAATCTCCAACGTGACACTCCAAGTAGCTGAACTCCCAAGCCATGGACAACGGTTCCCTGCATGTCGTTAGGCAGCTGAACAAGAACAAGCCTCTCTGGATGCGCAAGTCCGAAGACGTCACCAACGAGGAGTATGCTTCCTTCTACAAGTCGCTGTCCAACGACTGGGAGGACAGGTCAGTTTGAAGGGTTGACGCTCACCCGTGTACCCCGCACCCCTCATCACAGGTAAAGGTTTAAGGCTGGGACATGCCTGTCGCATGAAAAGCTTCTCTGCAAGTTGTTGGTAGGACCACCTCGCGGTGAAGCACTTCAGCGTCGAGGGCCAGCTGGAGTTCCGTGCGCTGCTCTTCGTTCCCCGCCGGGCGCCCTTTGACCTCTTCGAGAGCAAGAAGAAGCGCAACAATATCAAGCTGTACGTGCGTCGTGTCTTCATCATGGACGACTGCGAGGAGCTGATGCCAGAGTGGCTGAACTTCGTCAAGGGCGTGGTGGACTCGGAGGACCTGCCTCTGAACATCTCCCGCGAGACCCTGCAGCAGAACAAGATCTTGCGAGTCATCAAGAAGAATCTGGTGAAGAAGTGCCTCGAGATGTTTGCAGAGATCGCTGAGAAGAAGGACGACTACAAGAAGTTCTACGAGCAGTTCGGCAAGTGCCTGAAGCTGGGCGTCCATGAGGACTCCACCAACCGCACTAAGGTGGGCCACGCATTTGCATCGACGAGGTTGAACTGGTTTCTGTAGTTTTTCCGCTTCCGGACACTTTACGACTTTACGATGTTGAAGTCGCATGAAACAAAGCAAGTGTCATTCTCCTTTCGTCTTTGCCAGTTGGCCGAGCTCCTCCGCTACCACACCTCCAAGTCTGGAGACGAGCAGATCAGCCTGACCCTGGGACTGGAATCTGAATCGAGTGCTTCAGAGTGTGTTTTTGAGATTGAAGTTCACAGAACCCGATGAGCGTGAACATGCCTGCATAATAAGCAGCCTCAGTCACTGTCACCTGAAGCTTGGGGCCTTTGGGACAGGGACAGGGTTTTGAAGAAAGATAGAATCTAAAAGCGCAGCTTTCGGCGCATGATCAGAAGTACAGCCCCCTTGTCTCAGGAAGGAGTATGTCGACCGCATGAAGGAGGGACAGAACGACATCTATTATATCACAGGCGCCGGTTTTAACGAGAGCCGTCATAAGTGCAGTGGACTTCGGTTAGATGTCTTGGAGATCATAGTGCTCCAACCGGGTCAGGTGAGAGCATCGCGGCGGTATCTTCCTCTCCTTTCCTGGAGACCCTGCGAAAGAAGGGCATCGAGGTGCCTCAACCCTACACCACCTGAGCTTAGACTGTACGTAGCTTAGGTAAGGTTTCAGGATGGATTCAAACTTGCACTCGTCGGTACGGTAGGTGCTTTACATGATCGACCCCGTCGACGAGTACTCCGTGCAGCAGCTGAAGGAGTTCGATGGCAAGAAGTTGAAATCCACCACCAAGGAAGGTTTGGACATCGAGGACGAGGACGAGAAGAACCTTGGAAGCGTCGGTTCTTGGCTTCTGCTTTTGTCATGGTGTCGGGCCGGCAACCTGCTTCTTGTCAGTAGTTCCCTGATGTGTAAGGAAGAAGCTGGAGGAGATGAAGGCCGAGTTTGAGCCTCTCACGAAGTTGATGAAGGAAGTCCTCGGAGACAAGGTGGAGAAGGTCATCGTTAGCTCTAGGATGGCCGACTCCCCTTGCGTGCTGACCACCTCCGAGTACGGCTGGTCTGCCAACATGGAGCGCATCATGAAGGCCCAGGCGCTGCGCGACAACTCCATGACTTCCTACATGGTCTCCAAGAAGACCATGGAGGTGAACCCGAAGCACTCCATCATGGCGGAGCTGAAGAAGAAGGCCGCTGCCGACAAGTCGGACAAGACGGTGAAGGACCTGATCTGGCTTCTCTTCGACACCTCCCTGCTCACCTCGGGCTTCAACCTGGACGAGCCCACCCAATTCGCTGGCCGCATCCACCGCATGATCAAGCTCGGCCTGAGCATCGACGATGACGATGAGGGCCTGGGCGACGACGATGACCTGCCCCCGCTTGAGGAAGTTGAGGGCGCGGCCGACGAGGCCTCCAAGATGGAGGAGGTCGACTAGGACTAGGATGTTTGAGCCACCCAGTAGTTCGTACCGCAGCCGTCGGTGCGCACTTGTGCATGATCCCCTCAACACAGTCTCCAGATTCGGCCGACTGTACAGCAGGCAGAATGTGGAAGAAACCTGATTCAGAGGATCGACTGCGAACAGAAAGTGCCGAGACATTGCACGGGTGGGGCCTCAGGTTGCACAACCCCGGTGAGCCGTCGATGAGAGGTTTCCGGGTTGTTGTCTGCTGCGTCCATCGAGCTCGTAGAAGGAGGCGTGGCTTCGCAGCACCATCGGCTCAAGTTTTGTCTTTCACGGACGTCTGACTAGCTCGAAAAGCTCCGACGACTGCTGGCCGTGAATTCGGCGGGTAACCCTTCGTTCAAGAGGATTCTGATGATTTTGGTTTTGCGGAAGCGGGGGGCACTGTTTTCGTCACAGCAGCAAGGACAATCATGGCGGAGACTTTCGCATTCAATGCAGACATCCAACAGCTGATGAGTTTCTCGGCAGGTTCCCAGCAGGTAGACTTGCCGTCATGCATCGTCCGCATATCTCTAGGAACCGACAGGTTCTTGGTATATAGTCCTGCTACAGATCTACGCCGGGGCATGCCGTGTAGGTGATGCGCATGAGCAGCACTTCGCAGCACGCAGCTTGTGAGCATAGCTTCTACCAGTTGCCGAGGCTTGATCATCAATACCTTCTACTCCAACAAGGAGATCTTCCTGCGAGAGCTCATCTCCAATGCCTCGGATGCAGCTCGAAGCAGCGAGTGCAGTGATTCAGGATCGAGCCCATTAAGTGATTTGCGTCGGACTGGGCATTTCGTTGATTTCTTGGCGGTGGCCTCCTCACGGGTAGACTACCTTACAGCCCCAAACCAAAAATCGTAAGCACAGGCTCTGGACAAGATTCGCTACGAATCGATCACGGATCCAGACAAGATCGAGGCAGGGAGTGTGAGTGTGACTCTCACGTACGGGCTTATCGCACAGGTCTACTGAGTAGCAGTAGCCACGAGAAGAGTTGGAGCAGCGAGAGGTTGGCACTGACAGAATGTAGTATATAAAAGAAGTTGTCAGGTCAGGCAGCGACAGGCCATAGGCGACATGCGAAGTGCCTTTGTTGTCCTGAGAAACGATGCATCGATAAGCTTCTCAACTGCAGGCGCAGCCCAACTTCTTCATCAAAGCTCCTGGGCGCGTTTCGTATTCGTGCGGTTGGACTGGGCATGCACCGCGTAGGACTTCTATGCAGGGTCGATGCCTGTGACTCTTCGCTCAGTGGCTGCGGTTTGTTCAAGTGTGGATCTGAGATCATCCCGGACAAGACCAATTCGACTTTGACCATCGAAGACTCCGGCATCGGCATGACCAAGAACGTTCCTCGACCTTGAGCAAATGGGAGGTTGCGATACTCTCGTCTTCGGCCCGGGTGGCACGTAGTAGCAGAACCTGTAGAAGGCACTTCTACAAGAGGAATGCTAGCATTTTTGCGTCGTTTGCAGGTCGAGGTCACACCAAAGAAGCAGTCTGAACACGAGTGCTTCCTGAGGAATTGATCAACAACCTCGGGACCATCGTGGCTCGATCGACTCTGTGTTGTTCCCTTGTTTCAGGTTGAGGTTTTGGGCTTCTTGTAGAACTGGATGCCCCCATGCAGCAAGACTCGAGTCCCAAGCTCCACAGCCCTGCAACCTCTTCCCAATCGAGTACTGAGGCCAAGTCAGGCACCAAAGCCTTCATGGAGGCCAGGAGCAAATGGGTCTTGGGTTGTGGCTTGAAACACGTGTCTTGGACGCCATCACAAGCCCTGGAAGGCCATGGCGGCCGGCGGCGACATCTCCATGATTGGCCAGCTTCTGGGATGCAACTGTTTATATCGACAGTCTCTCTGGTCTAAGTAAGATGCGCGGGTCGTGGAAGATGTGGAGTGCAGGGACTGTAGCCTTGCTAGAACCAGCCTTTGTGTGGCACTTTCGCCCGCTGCCTGTGCTGATCGTATGGCTCTCCCTGCCTCTCACCCTGACACTGTAGCCTGCCCAGTCCCATCCCGATCAGGTTCGGCGTCGGCTTCTACAGCGCATACCTCGTCTCGGACAAGGTCCGCGTCGTCAGCAAGCACAACGACGACGAGTGGCTCGTCAAAACAAGCCTGCAAAGAGATCTGCATTCGGAGACGAAAGGTGCCAGGCATGCAAACTCGGCGGTTTTTCGTGTGTTTGCTTTATAGTGGTAGTCGGCTTTGGGCAGTCTTTAGTAGTGTTTCGGCTGCATCGCACGGAGGCAGCGATTTGGTGCCTTCGGATAGCTTGGCAATGTTAGGTCTTCTCGCGCAAAATCCAGCCCATTTTGGGCTAAGAGGCAAAGACTGGCTTTTTTCGTCGTCAGCGGCTAGGGGCTTTCCAAACAATCGTATCGAGGCAGTACATCTTGACTCAGCAAAGGGCCCATTTTGGGCCATTTGGAAGGGAATGCTGGGGGCTTTCCAAAACCTTTCACGAGGCAGTACATCTGGGAGAGCGGTGCCGGCGGATCCTTCACCGTGCAGAAGGCCGGCGTGCATGTGGTCATTCTGTTGTCTTGAGCTGGGGAGCTTCTTCGCTGAGCGATGACTGAAGAACTAAGCCGAAGTAGGTCAAAAGGCTGGCAGTTCGCTCACGCAGACCGCAGGTTCAGAGGTCTTCAGGATATTTCAGGGCTGGTGCTTGCATAATGTCGGAAGTCACGAGAGGACACCGAGCTGGTGCACGGCGAGATCAAGCGAGGTACGAAGATTATCTGCTACCTCAAGGAAGACCAGTCCGAGTTCCTGGAGGACGCTGAAGTTTGAGTCTCATCCGCCGCTGCAAAGATGCAACAGATGATCCTTTTCGTTCAGTGAGGGAGAAGAAGATACCTGCCCGCCATTTCATACTCCCAATCGCCAAACCTCCCAGCCTTCGTCGCCGACTATGGTTTGCGTCAGCAGTTGCTGCGCAGGAGCGACGCTTGAAGGACTTGGTGAAGAAGCACTCCGAGTTCATCGGCTTCCCCATCGAGCTGTACGTGGAGAAGTCCAAGGAGAAGGAGGTGACTGCGGCTTCGCAGCACATCTACTGCTGCCCGCGGTGACAGCCGGGATCCCCACCCCAACATCACCAGATCACCACAAGCCCGGGACCCCGCAGATCTCTACTTGAGCCTGGGGCGTTACCCAGGACTCCGAGGAGGAAGAGGAGGAGAAGAAGGACGAGAAAGAGGGTGCCGGCTGGGGGAGGGGCAGGGGTTGCAGAGCGGGTACTGGTTTGGAAATTGCCGGGTCTGCATAATTAGTATAGGTGCCGGTCTTGGACCGTAATTTCTCGTCTTAAAGCTCTGCCCTAACTACTTCAATAGGCGTATCTACTTATAACGAATCGCGGCACCAGGTGACGAGCCCAAGATCGAGGAAGTGGATGAGGAGCCGTCCGGGGCGGGTTTAGGGCTGTTGAGGGTTTCAAGGTCGGGGGTCTGAGTGTGGCAGCAGAATTCCTGTTTGCGCTTGCGCTGTTAACGAAGGAGATCGGAGTAGCAATGCTTGAACAAGATTGTATGTCTTAACGAAGGGAGGGGGGCATGCTTGAACAAGAACAACACACTCTTAACGAAGGAGAAGGAGAAAGAGGAGAAGAAAAAGAAGACCAAGACGCTCGGCGGATGAGTGGAAACGGCTTTGCTATGACATCATTATACATCATTCATAGAGTCATTCAGTCGACGGAGAATGGCAAAACCCACAGAAGCGCTAGAATGTCGTATTGCCTTGTCTAAAGTTCACGGAGCACCTGTCCTGAGCTAAGGAAGGTGAAGGAGGTCTCGCACGAGTGGGAGCGGCTTGGCGGGTGACAGGTTTGCTGGAAGATTTTAGGCAAAGGCTTTGAGGTTGCTTCACGGAATTTAAGATATAGGTGAGGGTTGGCAGTGTGTCGTCATGCAATCAGAATCTCCAACGTGACACTCCAAGTAGCTGAACTCCCTCCCAAGTCGTTGACAACGGTTCCCTGCATGTCGTTAGGCAGCTGAACAAGAACAAGCCTCTCTGGATGCGCAAGTCCGAAGACGTCACCAACGAGGAGTATGCTTCCTTCTACAAGTCGCTGTCCAACGACTGGGAGGACAGGTCAGTTTGAAGGGTTGACGCTCACCCGTGTACCGCGCACCCCTCATCACAGGTAAAGGTTTAAGGCTAGGACATGCCTGTCGCATGAAAAGCTTTTCTGCAAGTTGTTGGTAGGACCACCTCGCGGTGAAGCACTTCAGCGTCGAGGGCCAGCTGGAGTTCCGTGCGCTGCTCTTCGTTCCCCGCCGGGCGCCCTTTGACCTCTTCGAGAGCAAGAAGAAGCGCAACAACATCAAGCTGTATGTGCGTCGTGTCTTCATCATGGACGACTGCGAGGAGCTGATGCCAGAGTGGCTGAACTTCGTGAAGGGCGTGGTGGACTCGGAGGACCTGCCTCTGAACATCTCCCGCGAGACCCTGCAGCAGAACAAGATCTTGCGAGTCATCAAGAAGAATCTTGTGAAGAAGTGCCTCGAGATGTTCGCAGAGATCGCTGAGAAGAAGGACGACTACAAGAAGTTCTACGAGCAGTTCGGCAAGTGCCTGAAGCTGGGCGTCCATGAGGACTCCACGAACCGCACCAAGGTGGGCAGTGCATTTGCATCGGCTAAGTTGAACTTGTTTTCTGTAGTTTTTTCCGCTTCCGGACACTTTACGACTTTACGATGTTGAAGTCGCATGAAACGAAGCAAGCGTCATTCTCCTTTCGTCTTTGCCAGTTGGCGGAGCTCCTCCGGTACCACACCTCCAAGTCTGGAGACGAGCAGATCAGCCTGACCCTGGGACTGGAATCTGAATCGAGTGCTTCAGAGTGTGTTTTTGAGATTGAAGTTCACAGAACCCGATGAGCGTGAACATGCATGCATACGGAGCAGCCTCAGTCACTGTCACGTGAAGCTTGGGGCCTTTGGGACAGGGACAGGGTTTTGAAGAAACGTAGGGCCTTGAAGCGCAGCTGTCGGCACGTGATCAGAAGTACGGCCCCATCTCAGGAAGGAGTACGTCGACCGCATGAAGGAGGGACAGAACGACATCTATTACATCACAGGCGCCCCTCTGGATGAGAGCCGTCACAAGTGCAGGGGACATGGTTAGCTGTCTTGGAGATAGTAGCGCTCCAACCTGATCAGGTGAGAGCATCGCGGCGGTATCTTCCTCTCCTTTCCTGGAGACCCTGCGAAAGAAGGGCATCGAGGTGCCTCAACCCTACACCACCTGAGCTTAGACTGTACGCAGCTTAGGTAAGGTTTCAGGATGGATTCAAACTTGCACTCGTCGGTACGGTAGGTGCTTTACATGATCGACCCCGTCGACGAGTACTCTGTGCAGCAGCTGAAGGAGTTCGATGGCAAGAAGCTGAAATCCACCACGAAAGAGGGTCTGGACATCGAGGACGAGGACGAGAAGAACCTCGGAAGCATGTACTAAGTTTGTGCTTTCTTGCTGAAGTCGTGAGGCAGCTTACTTCGTTGCAGTAGTTCCCTGATGTCCAAGGAAGAAGCTGGAGGAGATGAAGGCCGAGTTTGAGCCTCTCACCAAGCTGATGAAGGAAGTCCTCGGAGACAAGGTGGAGAAGGTCATCGTTAGCTCTAGGATGGCCGACTCCCCTTGCGTGCTGACCACCTCCGAGTACGGCTGGTCTGCCAACATGGAGCGCATCATGAAGGCCCAGGCGCTGCGCGACAACTCCATGACTTCCTACATGGTCTCCAAGAAGACCATGGAGGTGAACCCGAAGCACTCCATCATGTCGGAGCTGAAGAAGAAGGCCGCTGCCGACAAGTCTGACAAGACGGTGAAGGACCTGATCTGGCTTCTCTTCGACACCTCCCTGCTCACCTCAGGCTTCAACCTGGACGAGCCCACCCAGTTCGCTGGCCGCATCCACCGCATGATCAAGCTCGGCCTGAGCATCGACGATGACGATGAGGGCCTGGGCGATGACGATGACCTGCCCCCGCTTGAGGAAGTCGAGGGCGCGGCCGACGAGGCCTCCAAGATGGAGGAGGTCGACTAGGCTTAGGATGTCTGAACGATTCTGTAGTTCGTACCGCAGCTGTCGGTGCGCACTTGTGCATGATCCCCTCAACACAGTCTCCAGATTCGGCCGACTGTACAGCAGGCAGAGTCTGGCGAGAAACCTGATTCAGAGGATCGACTGCGAAGAGAAAGTGCCGCGACATTGCACAGGGTGGGGCCTCAGGTTGCACAACCCCGGTGAGCCGTCGATGAGACAGGTTTCCGGGTTGTTGTCTGCTGCCTCCATTGAGCTCGTAGGCTGAGGTGTGGCTTCGCAGCACCATCGGCTCAAGTTTTGTCTTTCACGGACGTCTGACTAGCTCGAAAAGCTCCGACGACTGCTGGCTGTGAACTATTATTATTCAATTGGGGCGGGCGGGAGGATTTCTTTTCAATTTAACCTTTCGTTCAAGAGGAGACCGGGGATCTTGGCTTTGCGGAACGCGGGGGGTGGGGGGGGGGTGGTGCGGCGGCACTGCTTTTGTCACAGAAGCAAGGACAATCATGGCGGAGACTTTCGCATTCAATGCAGACATCCAACAGCTGATGAGTTTCTCGGCAGGTTCCCAGCAGGTAGACTTGCCGTCATGCATCGTCCGCATATCTCTAGGAACCGACAGGTTCTTGGTATATAGTCCTGCTACAGATCTATGCCGGGGCATGCCGTGTAGGTGATGCGCATGAGCAGCACTTCGCAGCACGCAGCTTGTGAGCATACCTTCTACCAGTTGCCGAGGCTTGATCATCAATACCTTCTACTCCAACAAGGAGATCTTCCTGCGAGAGCTCATTTCGAATGCCTCGGATGCAGCTCGAAGCAGCGAGTGCAGTGATTCAGAATCGAACCCCAAGTGATTGCGTCGGACTGGGCATTCCGTTGATTTCTTGGCGGTGGCCTCCTTACTGGTAGACCACTTCGCAGCCCCAAACCAAAGATCTCAAGCACAGGCTCTGGACAAGATTCGCTACGAATCGATCACGGATCCAGACAAGATCGAGGCAGGGAGTGTGAGCGTGGGTTCTAATCCCCTTCGACAGTTGGGCTCTCAGATGCAGGTTTATTGCATAGGCCTACTGAGCAGTAGCAGCAGCCGCGAGAAGAGTTGGAGCTGCGAGGGTTTGGCATTGACAGGATTTTGTAGAGCAGCTGTCGTTATCCTGAGAAACGATGCATCGATATGCTTCTCAACTGCAGGCTCAGCCCAACTTCTTCATCAAAGCTCCTGGGCCCGTTTCGGATTCGTGTGATTGGACTGGGCATGCGCAGTATAGGATTTCTAGGCAGGGTCCCGCAGGGTCGATGCCTGTGACTCTTCACTCAGTAGCTGCGGTTTGTTTGAGTATGCATCTGAGATCATCCCGGACAAGACCAATTCGACTTTGACCATCGAAGACTCCGGCATCGGCATGACCAAGAACGTTCCTCGGCCTTTAGCAACTGGGAGGTTGCGATACTCTCCGCTTGGGCCCGGGTGGCATGTAATAACAGAACCTGTAAAAGGCACTACCACAAGAAAGGCACTACCACAAGATTTATGCCTAGCATTTTTGCGTCGTGCCGTTCGAGGTCACACCAAAGAAGCAGTCAGAACACGAGTGCTTCCTGAGGAACTGATCAACAACCTCGGGACCATCGTGGCTCGATCGACTCTGTGTTGTTCCCTTGTTTCAGGTTGAGGTTTGGGCTTCTTGTAGAACTGGATGCCCCAAAGCAGCAAGACTCGAGTCCCAAGCTCCACAGCTCTGCTGCCTCTTCCCCATCGAGTACTGAGGCCAAGTCTGGCACCAAAGCCTTCATGGAGGCCAGGAGAAAGTGGGTCTTGGGTTGTGGCAGTGAAACGCTTCCGAGCCGCGTGTCTTAGACCCCTGGAAGGCCATGGCGGCCGGCGGCGACATCTCCATGATTGGCCAGCTTCTGGGATGCAGCGATTTTCATGGACAGTCTCGCTGGTCTAAGTAAGATGCGCGGGTCGTCGAAGATGTGGAGTGCAGGGACTGTAGCCTTGCTAGAACCAGCCTTTGTGTGGCACTTTCGCCCGCTGCCTGTGCTGATCGTATGGCTCTCCCTGCCTCTCACCCTGACACTGTAGCCTGCCCAGTCCCATCCCGATCAGGTTCGGCGTCGGCTTCTACAGCGCATACCTCGTCTCGGACAAGGTCCGCGTCGTCAGCAAGCACAACGACGACGAGTGGCTCGTCAAAGCAAGCCTGCAAAGAGATCTGCATTCGGAGACGAAACCAGGCATGCAAACTCGGCGGTTTTTCGTGTCTTTGCTTTATAGTGGTAGTCGGCTTTGGGCAGTCTTTGGTAGTGTTTCGGCTGCATCGCACGGAGGCAGCGATTTGGTGCCTTCGGATAGTTTGGCAATGTTAGGTCTTGTAGCGCAAACATCCAGCCCATTTTGGGCTAAGAAGCGGCAGAGACTGATTTTTTTTGCGTCGTCAGCGGCTAGGGGCTTTCCAATCAATCGTATCGAGGCAGTACATCTTGACTCAGAGCAAGTGCCATTTGGAATAGACTGAGCCTTCCCGTCGCGGCTTTCTAAACCTTTGCGAGGCAGTACATCTGGGAGAGCGGCGCCGGCGGATCCTTCACCGTGCAGAAGGACGGCGTGCATGTGGTCATTCTGTTTTCTTGAGTTGGGGAGCTTCAAAGCAGAAGTAGGCGGCAGTTCGCTCACGCAGACCACAGGTTCAGAGGTCTTCAGGATATTTCGGGGCTGGTGCTTGCACAGTGGTATCATTTCGGAAGTCACGAGAGGACACCGAGCTGGTGCACGGCGAGATCAAGCGAGGTACGAAGATTATCTGCTACCTCAAGGAAGACCAGTCCGAGTTCCTGGAGGACGCTGAAGTTTGAGTCTCATCCGCCGCTGCAAAGATGCAACAGATGATCCTTTTCGTTCAGTGAGGGAGAAGAAGATACCTGCCCGCCATTTCATACTCCCAATCGCCAAACCTCCCAGCCTTCGTCGCCGATTATGGTTTGCGTTAGCAGTTGCTGCGCAGGAGCGACGCTTGAAGGACTTGGTGAAGAAGCACTCCGAGTTCATCGGCTTCCCCATCGAGCTGTACGTGGAGAAGTCCAAGGAGAAGGAGGTGACTGCCGCTTCGCAGCACATCTACTGCTGCCCGCGGTGACAGCCGGGATCCCCACCCCAACATCACCAGATCACCACAAGCCCGGGACCCCGCAGATCTCTACTTGAGCCTGGGGCGTTACCCAGGACTCCGAGGAGGAAGAGGAGGAGAAGAAGGACGAGAAAGAGGGTGCCGGCTGGGGGAGGGGCACGGGTTGCAAAGCGGGTACTGGCTTGGAAATTGCCGGGTCTGCATAATTAGTATAGGTGCCGGTCTTGGACCGTAATTTCTTGTCTTGAAGCTCTGCCCCAACTACTTCAATAGGCGTATCTACTTAACGAATCGCGGCACCAGGTGACGAGCCCAAGATCGAGGAAGTGGATGAGGAGCCGTCCGGGGCGGGTTTAGGGCTGTTGAGGGTTTCAAGGTCGGGGGTCTGAGTGTGGCAGCAGAATTCCTGTTTGCGCTTGCGCTGTTAACGAAGGAGCTCGGAGTAGCAATGCTTGAACAAGATTGTATGTCTTAACGAAGGGAGGGGGGCATGCTTGAACAAGAACAACACACTCTTAACGAAGGAGAAGGAGAAAGAGGAGAAGAAAAAGAAGACCAAGACGCTCGGCGGATGAGTGGAAACGGCTTTGCTATGACATCATTATACATCATTCATAGAGTCATTCAGTCGACGGAGAATGGCAAAACCCACAGAAGCGCTAGAATGTCGTATTGCCTTGTCTAAAGTTCACGGAGCACCTGTCCTGAGCTAAGGAAGGTGAAGGAGGTCTCGCACGAGTGGGAGCGGCTTGGCGGGTGACAGGTTTGCTGGAAGTTTTTAGGCAAAGGCTTTGAGGTTGCTTCACAGAATTTAAGATATAGGTGAGGGTTGGCAGTGTGTCGTCATGCAATCAGAATCTCCAACGTGACACTCCAAGTAGCTGAACTCCTTCCCAAGTCGTTGACAACGGTTCCCTGCATGTCGTTAGGCAGCTGAACAAGAACAAGCCTCTCTGGATGCGCAAGTCCGAAGACGTCACCAACGAGGAGTATGCTTCCTTCTACAAGTCGCTGTCCAACGACTGGGAGGACAGGTCAGTTTGAAGGGTTGACGCTCACCCGTGTACCGCGCACCCCTCATCACAGGTAAAGGTTTAAGGCTAGGACATGCCTGTCGCATGAAAAGCTTTTCTGCAAGTTGTTGGTAGGACCACCTCGCGGTGAAGCACTTCAGCGTCGAGGGCCAGCTGGAGTTCCGTGCGCTGCTCTTCGTTCCCCGCCGGGCGCCCTTTGACCTCTTCGAGAGCAAGAAGAAGCGCAACAACATCAAGCTGTATGTGCGTCGTGTCTTCATCATGGACGACTGCGAGGAGCTGATGCCAGAGTGGCTGAACTTCGTGAAGGGCGTGGTGGACTCGGAGGACCTGCCTCTGAACATCTCCCGCGAGACCCTGCAGCAGAACAAGATCTTGCGAGTCATCAAGAAGAATCTTGTGAAGAAGTGCCTCGAGATGTTCGCAGAGATCGCTGAGAAGAAGGACGACTACAAGAAGTTCTACGAGCAGTTCGGCAAGTGCCTGAAGCTGGGCGTCCATGAGGACTCCACGAACCGCACCAAGGTGGGCAGTGCATTTGCATCGGCTAAGTTGAACTTGTTTTCTGTAGTTTTTTCCGCTTCCGGACACTTTACGACTTTACGATGTTGAAGTCGCATGAAACGAAGCAAGCGTCATTCTCCTTTCGTCTTTGCCAGTTGGCGGAGCTCCTCCGGTACCACACCTCCAAGTCTGGAGACGAGCAGATCAGCCTGACCCTGGGACTGGAATCTGAATCGAGTGCTTCAGAGTGTGTTTTTGAGATTGAAGTTCACAGAACCCGATGAGCGTGAACATGCATGCATACGGAGCAGCCTCAGTCACTGTCACGTGAAGCTTGGGGCCTTTGGGACAGGGACAGGGTTTTGAAGAAACGTAGGGCCTTGAAGCGCAGCTGTCGGCACGTGATCAGAAGTACGGCCCCATCTCAGGAAGGAGTACGTCGACCGCATGAAGGAGGGACAGAACGACATCTATTACATCACAGGCGCCCCTCTGGATGAGAGCCGTCACAAGTGCAGGGGACATGGTTAGCTGTCTTGGAGATAGTAGCGCTCCAACCTGATCAGGTGAGAGCATCGCGTCGGTATCTTCCTCTCCTTTCCTGGAGACCCTGCGAAAGAAGGGCATCGAGGTGCCTCAACCCTACACCACCTGAGCTTAGACTGTACGCAGCTTAGGTAAGGTTTCAGGATGGATTCAAACTTGCACTCGTCGGTACGGTAGGTGCTTTACATGATCGACCCCGTCGACGAGTACTCTGTGCAGCAGCTGAAGGAGTTCGATGGCAAGAAGCTGAAATCCACCACGAAAGAGGGTCTGGACATCGAGGACGAGGACGAGAAGAACCTCGGAAGCATGTACTAAGTTTGTGCTTTCTTGCTGAAGTCGTGAGGCAGCTTACTTCGTTGCAGTAGTTCCCTGATGTCCAAGGAAGAAGCTGGAGGAGATGAAGGCCGAGTTTGAGCCTCTCACCAAGCTGATGAAGGAAGTCCTCGGAGACAAGGTGGAGAAGGTCATCGTTAGCTCTAGGATGGCCGACTCCCCTTGCGTGCTGACCACCTCCGAGTACGGCTGGTCTGCCAACATGGAGCGCATCATGAAGGCCCAGGCGCTGCGCGACAACTCCATGACTTCCTACATGGTCTCCAAGAAGACCATGGAGGTGAACCCGAAGCACTCCATCATGTCGGAGCTGAAGAAGAAGGCCGCTGCCGACAAGTCTGACAAGACGGTGAAGGACCTGATCTGGCTTCTCTTCGACACCTCCCTGCTCACCTCAGGCTTCAACCTGGACGAGCCCACCCAGTTCGCTGGCCGCATCCACCGCATGATCAAGCTCGGCCTGAGCATCGACGATGACGATGAGGGCCTGGGCGATGACGATGACCTGCCCCCGCTTGAGGAAGTCGAGGGCGCGGCCGACGAGGCCTCCAAGATGGAGGAGGTCGACTAGGCTTAGGATGTCTGAACGATTCTGTAGTTCGTACCGCAGCTGTCGGTGCGCACTTGTGCATGATCCCCTCAACACAGTCTCCAGATTCGGCCGACTGTACAGCAGGCAGAGTCTGGCGAGAAACCTGATTCAGAGGATCGACTGCGAAGAGAAAGTGCCGCGACATTGCACAGGGTGGGGCCTCAGGTTGCACAACCCCGGTGAGCCGTCGATGAGACAGGTTTCCGGGTTGTTGTCTGCTGCCTCCATCGAGCTCGTAGGCTGAGGTGTGGCTTCGCAGCACCATCGGCTCAAGTTTTGTCTTTCACGGACGTCTGACTAGCTCGAAAAGCTCCGACGACTGCTGGCTGTGAACTATTATTATTCAATTGGGGCGGGCGGGAGGATTTCTTTTCAATTTAACCTTTCGTTCAAGAGGAGACCGGGGATCTTGGCTTTGCGGAACGCGGGGGGTGGGGGGGGGGTGGTGCGGCGGCACTGCTTTTGTCACAGAAGCAAGGACAATCATGGCGGAGACTTTCGCATTCAATGCAGACATCCAACAGCTGATGAGTTTCTCGGCAGGTTCCCAGCAGGTAGACTTGCCGTCATGCATCGTCCGCATATCTCTAGGAACCGACAGGTTCTTGGTATATAGTCCTGCTACAGATCTATGCCGGGGCATGCCGTGTAGGTGATGCGCATGAGCAGCACTTCGCAGCACGCAGCTTGTGAGCATACCTTCTACCAGTTGCCGAGGCTTGATCATCAATACCTTCTACTCCAACAAGGAGATCTTCCTGCGAGAGCTCATTTCGAATGCCTCGGATGCAGCTCGAAGCAGCGAGTGCAGTGATTCAGAATCGAACCCCAAGTGATTGCGTCGGACTGGGCATTCCGTTGATTTCTTGGCGGTGGCCTCCTTACTGGTAGACCACTTCGCAGCCCCAAACCAAAGATCTCAAGCACAGGCTCTGGACAAGATTCGCTACGAATCGATCACGGATCCAGACAAGATCGAGGCAGGGAGTGTGAGCGTGGGTTCTAATCCCCTTCGACAGTTGGGCTCTCAGATGCAGGTTTATTGCATAGGCCTACTGAGCAGTAGCAGCAGCCGCGAGAAGAGTTGGAGCTGCGAGGGTTTGGCATTGACAGGATTTTGTAGAGCAGCTGTCGTTATCCTGAGAAACGATGCATCGATATGCTTCTCAACTGCAGGCTCAGCCCAACTTCTTCATCAAAGCTCCTGGGCCCGTTTCGGATTCGTGTGATTGGACTGGGCATGCGCAGTATAGGATTTCTAGGCAGGGTCCCGCAGGGTCGATGCCTGTGACTCTTCACTCAGTAGCTGCGGTTTGTTTGAGTATGCATCTGAGATCATCCCGGACAAGACCAATTCGACTTTGACCATCGAAGACTCCGGCATCGGCATGACCAAGAACGTTCCTCGGCCTTTAGCAACTGGGAGGTTGCGATACTCTCCGCTTGGGCCCGGGTGGCATGTAATAACCGAACCTGTAAAAGGCACTACCACAAGATTTATGCCTAGCATTTTTGCGTCGTGCCGTTCGAGGTCACACCAAAGAAGCAGTCAGAACACGAGTGCTTCCTGAGGAACTGATCAACAACCTCGGGACCATCGTGGCTCGATCGACTCTGTGTTGTTCCCTTGTTTCAGGTTGAGGTTTGGGCTTCTTGTAGAACTGGATGCCCCAAAGCAGCAAGACTCGAGTCCCAAGCTCCACAGCTCTGCTGCCTCTTCCCCATCGAGTACTGAGGCCAAGTCTGGCACCAAAGCCTTCATGGAGGCCAGGAGAAAGTGGGTCTTGGGTTGTGGCAGTGAAACGCTTCCGAGCCGCGTGTCTTAGACCCCTGGAAGGCCATGGCGGCCGGCGGCGACATCTCCATGATTGGCCAGCTTCTGGGATGCAGCGATTTTCATGGACAGTCTCGCTGGTCTAAGTAAGATGCGCGGGTCGTCGAAGATGTGGAGTGCAGGGACTGTAGCCTTGCTAGAACCAGCCTTTGTGTGGCACTTTCGCCCGCTGCCTGTGCTGATCGTATGGCTCTCCCTGCCTCTCACCCTGACACTGTAGCCTGCCCAGTCCCATCCCGATCAGGTTCGGCGTCGGCTTCTACAGCGCATACCTCGTCTCGGACAAGGTCCGCGTCGTCAGCAAGCACAACGACGACGAGTGGCTCGTCAAAGCAAGCCTGCAAAGAGATCTGCATTCGGAGACGAAACCAGGCATGCAAACTCGGCGGTTTTTCGTGTCTTTGCTTTATAGTGGTAGTCGGCTTTGGGCAGTCTTTGGTAGTGTTTCGGCTGCATCGCACGGAGGCAGCGATTTGGTGCCTTCGGATAGTTTGGCAATGTTAGGTCTTGTAGCGCAAACATCCAGCCCATTTTGGGCTAAGAAGCGGCAGAGACTGATTTTTTTTGCGTCGTCAGCGGCTAGGGGCTTTCCAATCAATCGTATCGAGGCAGTACATCTTGACTCAGAGCAAGGGCCATTTGGAATAGACTGAGCCTTCCCGTCGCGGCTTTCTAAACCTTTGCGAGGCAGTACATCTGGGAGAGCGGCGCCGGCGGATCCTTCACCGTGCAGAAGGACGGCGTGCATGTGGTCATTCTGTTTTCTTGAGTTGGGGAGCTTCAAAGCAGAAGTAGGCGGCAGTTCGCTCACGCAGACCACAGGTTCAGAGGTCTTCAGGATATTTCGGGGCTGGTGCTTGCACAGTGGTATCATTTCGGAAGTCACGAGAGGACACCGAGCTGGTGCACGGCGAGATCAAGCGAGGTACGAAGATTATCTGCTACCTCAAGGAAGACCAGTCCGAGTTCCTGGAGGACGCTGAAGTTTGAGTCTCATCCGCCGCTGCAAAGATGCAACAGATGATCCTTTTCGTTCAGTGAGGGAGAAGAAGATACCTGCCCGCCATTTCATACTCCCAATCGCCAAACCTCCCAGCCTTCGTCGCCGATTATGGTTTGCGTTAGCAGTTGCTGCGCAGGAGCGACGCTTGAAGGACTTGGTGAAGAAGCACTCCGAGTTCATCGGCTTCCCCATCGAGCTGTACGTGGAGAAGTCCAAGGAGAAGGAGGTGACTGCCGCTTCGCAGCACATCTACTGCTGCCCGCGGTGACAGCCGGGATCCCCACCCCAACATCACCAGATCACCACAAGCCCGGGACCCCGCAGATCTCTACTTGAGCCTGGGGCGTTACCCAGGACTCCGAGGAGGAAGAGGAGGAGAAGAAGGACGAGAAAGAGGGTGCCGGCTGGGGGAGGGGCACGGGTTGCAAAGCGGGTACTGGCTTGGAAATTGCCGGGTCTGCATAATTAGTATAGGTGCCGGTCTTGGACCGTAATTTCTTGTCTTGAAGCTCTGCCCCAACTACTTCAATAGGCGTATCTACTTAACGAATCGCGGCACCAGGTGACGAGCCCAAGATCGAGGAAGTGGATGAGGAGCCGTCCGGGGCGGGTTTAGGGCTGTTGAGGGTTTCAAGGTCGGGGGTCTGAGTGTGGCAGCAGAATTCCTGTTTGCGCTTGCGCTGTTAACGAAGGAGCTCGGAGTAGCAATGCTTGAACAAGATTGTATGTCTTAACGAAGGGAGGGGGGCATGCTTGAACAAGAACAACACACTCTTAACGAAGGAGAAGGAGAAAGAGGAGAAGAAAAAGAAGACCAAGACGCTCGGCGGATGAGTGGAAACGGCTTTGCTATGACATCATTATACATCATTCATAGAGTCATTCAGTCGACGGAGAATGGCAAAACCCACAGAAGCGCTAGAATGTCGTATTGCCTTGTCTAAAGTTCACGGAGCACCTGTCCTGAGCTAAGGAAGGTGAAGGAGGTCTCGCACGAGTGGGAGCGGCTTGGCGGGTGACAGGTTTGCTGGAAGTTTTTAGGCAAAGGCTTTGAGGTTGCTTCACAGAATTTAAGATATGGGTGAGGGGTGGCAGGGTGTCGGCATGCAATCAGAATCTCCAACGTGACACTCCAAGTAGCTGAACTCCCTCCCAAGTCGTTGACAACGGTTCCCTGCATGTCGTTAGGCAGCTGAACAAGAACAAGCCTCTCTGGATGCGCAAGTCCGAAGACGTCACCAATGAGGAGTATGCTTCCTTCTACAAGTCGCTGTCCAACGACTGGGAGGACAGGTCAGTTTGAAGGGTTGACGCTCACCCGTGCACCCCGCACCACTCATCACAGGTAAAGGTTTAAGGCTAGGACATGCCTGTCGCTTGAAAAGCTTTTCTGCAAGTTGTTGGTAGGACCACCTCGCGGTGAAGCACTTCAGCGTCGAGGGCCAGCTGGAGTTCCGTGCGCTGCTCTTCGTTCCCCGCCGGGCGCCCTTTGACCTCTTCGAGAGCAAGAAGAAGCGCAACAACATCAAGCTGTATGTGCGTCGTGTCTTCATCATGGACGACTGCGAGGAGCTGATGCCAGAGTGGCTGAACTTCGTGAAGGGCGTGGTGGACTCGGAGGACCTGCCTCTGAACATCTCCCGCGAGACCCTGCAGCAGAACAAGATCTTGCGAGTCATCAAGAAGAATCTTGTGAAGAAGTGCCTCGAGATGTTCGCAGAGATCGCTGAGAAGAAGGACGACTACAAGAAGTTCTACGAGCAGTTCGGCAAGTGCCTGAAGCTGGGCGTCCATGAGGACTCCACCAACCGCACGAAGGTGGGATACATATTTGCATTGAACTGGTTTCTTGAGTGTGTTCGCTTCCGGACACTTTAGGATGTTGAAGTCGCATGAAAACAAAGCAAGCGTCATTCTCGTTTCGTCTTTGCTAGTTGGCCGAGCTCCTCCGCTACCACACTTCCAAGTCTGGAGACGAGCAGATCAGCCTGACCCTGGGACTGGAATCTGGAGCGAGTGCTTCAGAGTGTGTTTTTCGAGATTGAAGTTCACAGAACCCGATGAGCGTGAACATGCATGCATACGGAGCAGCCTCAGTCACTGTCACCTGAAGCCTGGGGCCTTTGGGACAGGGACAGGGTTTTGAAGAAACGTAGGGCCTAGAAGCGCAGCTGTCGGCACGTGATCAGAAGTACGGCCCCATCTCAGGAAGGAGTACGTCGACCGCATGAAGGAGGGACAGAACGACATCTATTACATCACAGGCGCCCCTCTGGATGAGAGCCGTCACAAGTGCAGGGGACATGGTTAGCTGTCTTGGAGATCATAGCGCTCCAACCTGATCAGGTGAGAGCATCGCGGCGGTATCTTCCTCTCCTTTCCTGGAGACCCTGCGAAAGAAGGGCATCGAGGTGCCTCAACCCTACACCACCTGAGCTTAGACTGTACGCAGCTTAGGTAAGGTTTCAGGATGGATTCAAACTTGCACTCGTCGGTACGGTAGGTGCTTTACATGATCGACCCCGTCGACGAGTACTCTGTGCAGCAGCTGAAGGAGTTCGATGGCAAGAAGCTGAAATCCACCACGAAAGAGGGTCTGGACATCGAGGACGAGGACGAGAAGAACCTCGGAAGCATGTACTAGTTTCATGCTTGCTTTTTGAAGTCCTGAGGCAGCTTGCTTCGTGTCAGTAGTTCCGTGATGTCCAAGGAAGAAGCTGGAGGAGATGAAGGCCGAGTTTGAGCCTCTCACCAAGCTGATGAAGGAAGTCCTCGGAGACAAGGTGGAGAAGGTCATCGTTAGCTCTAGGATGGCCGACTCCCCCTGCGTCCTGACCACCTCCGAGTACGGCTGGTCTGCCAACATGGAGCGCATCATGAAGGCCCAGGCGCTGCGCGACAACTCCATGACTTCCTACATGGTCTCCAAGAAGACCATGGAGGTGAACCCGAAGCACTCCATCATGTCGGAGCTGAAGAAGAAGGCCGCTGCCGACAAGTCTGACAAGACGGTGAAGGACCTGATCTGGCTTCTCTTCGACACCTCCCTGCTCACCTCAGGCTTCAACCTGGACGAGCCCACCCAGTTCGCTGGCCGCATCCACCGCATGATCAAGCTCGGCCTGAGCATCGACGATGACGATGAGGGCCTGGGCGATGACGATGACCTGCCCCCGCTTGAGGAAGTCGAGGGCGCGGCCGACGAGGCCTCCAAGATGGAGGAGGTCGACTAGGCTTAGGATGTCTGAACGATTCTGTAGTTCGTACCGCAGCTGTCGGTGCGCACTTGTGCATGATCCCCTCAACACAGTCTCCAGATTCGGCCGACTGTACAGCAGGCAGAGTCTGGCGAGAAACCTGATTCAGAGGATCGACTGCGAAGAGAAAGTGCCGCGACATTGCACAGGGTGGGGCCTCAGGTTGCACAACCCCGGTGAGCCGTCGATGAGACAGGTTTCCGGGTTGTTGTCTGCTGCCTCCATCGAGCTCGTAGGCTGAGGTGTGGCTTCGCAGCACCATCGGCTCAAGTTTTGTCTTTCACGGACGTCTGACTAGCTCGAAAAGCTCCGACGACTGCTGGCTGTGAACTATTATTATTCAATTGGGGCGGGCGGGAGGATTTCTTTTCAATTTAACCTTTCGTTCAAGAGGAGACCGGGGATCTTGGCTTTGCGGAACGCGGGGGGTGGGGGGGGGGTGGTGCGGCGGCACTGCTTTTGTCACAGAAGCAAGGACAATCATGGCGGAGACTTTCGCATTCAATGCAGACATCCAACAGCTGATGAGTTTCTCGGCAGATTCCCAGCAGGTAGACTTGCCGTCACGCATCGTCGGCGTATCTCTAGGAACCGACAGGTTCTTGGTATGTAGTCCCGCTACAGATCTACGGTTCATAAACAGATGCTCGAAAGGATAGGGCTCCGGGGCATGCCGTGTAGGTGATGAGGATGAGCAGCACTTCGCAGCACACAGCTTGTGATCATAGCTTCTACCAGTTGCCGAGGCTTGATCATCAATACCTTCTACTCCAACAAGGAGATCTTCCTGCGAGAGCTCATTTCGAATGCCTCGGATGCAGCTCGAAGCAGCGAGTGCAGTGATTCAGAATCGAACCCCAAGTGATTGCGTCGGACTGGGCATTCCGTTGATTTCTTGGCGGTGGCCTCCTTACTGGTAGACCACTTCGCAGCCCCAAACCAAAGATCTCAAGCACAGGCTCTGGACAAGATTCGCTACGAATCGATCACGGATCCAGACAAGATCGAGGCAGGGAGTGTGAGCGTGGGTTCTAATCCCCTTCGACAGTTGGGCTCTCAGATACAGGTTTATTGCATAGGCCTACTGAGCAGTAGCAGCAGCCGCGAGAAGAGTTGGAGCTGCGAGGGTTTGGCATTGACAGGATTTTGTAGAGAAGCTGTCGTTATCCTGAGAAACGATGCATCGATAGCTTCTCAACTGCAGGCGCAGCCCAACTTCTTCATCAAAGCTCCTGGGCGCGATTCGTGCGGTTGGACTGGGCATGCGCAGTATAGGATTTCTAGGCAGGGTCCCGCAGGGTCGATGCCTGTGACTCTTCACTCAGTAGCTGCGGTTTGTTTGAGTATGCATCTGAGATCATCCCGGACAAGACCAATTCGACTTTGACCATCGAAGACTCCGGCATCGGCATGACCAAGAACGTTCCTCGGCCTTTAGCAACTGGGAGGTTGCGATACTCTCCGCTTGGGCCCGGGTGGCACGTAATAGCAGAACCTGTAGAAGGCACATCTACAAGAGGTATGCCTAGCATTTTTACGTCGTTTGCAGGTCGAGGTCACACCAAAGAAGCAGTCTGAACACGAGTGCTTCCTGAGGAACTGATCAACAACCTCGGGACCATCGTGGCTCGATCGACTTTGTGTTGTTCCCTTGTTTCAGGTTGAGGTTGGGGCTTCTTGTAGAACTGGATGCCCCCAAGCAGCAAGACTCGAGTCCCAAGCTCCACAGCCCTTCAACCTCTTCCCAATCGAGTACTGAGGCCAAGTCTGGCACCAAAGCCTTCATGGAGGCCAGGAGCAATTGGGTCTTGGGTTGTGGCAGTGAAACGCTTCCGAGCCGCGTGTCTTAGACCCCTGGAAGGCCATGGCGGCCGGCGGCGACATCTCCATGATTGGCCAGCTTCTGGGATGCAGCGATTTTCATGGACAGTCTCGCTGGTCTAAGTAAGATGCGCGGCGGGTCGTCGAAGATGAGGAGTGCAGGCCCTGTAGCCTTGCCAAAACCAGCCTTTGCGTTGTACTTCCGCCCCTGCCTGTGCTGACCGTATAGCTCTCCCTGCCTCTCACCCTGACACTTTAACCTGCGCAGTTATCAGGTTTGGCGTCGGCTTCTACAGCGCATACCTCGTCTCGGACAAGGTCCGCGTCGTCAGCAAGCACAACGACGACGAGTGGCTCGTCAAAACAAGCCTGCAAAGAGATCTGCATTCGGAGACGAAAGGTGCCAGGCATGCAAACTCGGCGGTTTTTCGTGTCTTTGCTTTATAGTTGTAGTCGGCTTTGGGCAGTCTTTGGTAGTGTTTCGGCTGCATCGCACGGAGGCAGCGATTTGGTGCCTTCGGATAGTTTGGCCATGTTTGGTCTTGTCAAGCAAGCTTTCTCTTTTCAGCGCAAACATCCAGCCCATTTTGGGCTAAGAAGCGGCAGAGACTGACTTTTTTTGCGTCGTCAGCGGCTAAGGGCTTTCCAAACAATCGTATCGAGGCAGTACATCTTGACTCAGCAAAGGGCCCATTCTGGGCCATTTGGAAGAGACTGAGCCTTCCCGTCGCGGGTTTCTAAACATTTGCGAGGCAGTACATCTGGGAGAGCGGCGCCGGCGGATCCTTCACCGTGCAGAAGGCCGGCGTGCATGTGGTCATTCTGTTTTTTTGAGTTGGGGAGCTTCTTCACTGGGCGATGACTGAAGAACAAAGCAGGAGTAGGCGGCAGTTCGAACAAGCAGGTTAAGAGGTCTTCAGGATATTTCAGGGCTGGTGCTTGCATAGTGGTATCTTTTCGGAAGTCACGGCAGGACACCGAGCTGGTGCACGGCGAGATCAAGCGAGGTACGAAGATTATCTGCTACCTCAAGGAAGACCAGTCCGAGTTCCTGGAGGACGCTGAAGTTTGAGTCTTATCCGCCGCTGCACAGATGCAACAGATGATCCTTTTCGTCCAGTGAGGGAGAAGACGATGCCTGCCCGCCATTACATAATCCCAATCTCCAAACCTCCCAGCCTTCGTCGCCGACTACAGTATGGTTTGCGTTAGCACTTGCTGCGCAGGAGCGACGCTTGAAGGACTTGGTGAAGAAGCACTCCGAGTTCATCGGCTTCCCCATCGAGCTGTACGTGGAGAAGTCCAAGGAGAAGGAGGTGACTGCCGCTTCGCAGCACATCTACTGCTGCCCGCGGTGACAGCCGGGATCCCCACCCCAACATCACCAGATCACCACAAGCCCGGGACCCCGCAGATCTCTACTTGAGCCTGGGGCGTTACCCAGGACTCCGAGGAGGAAGAGGAGGAGAAGAAGGACGAGAAAGAGGGTGCCGGCTGGGGGAGGGGCACGGGTTGCAAAGCGGGTACTGGCTTGGAAATTGCCGGGTCTGCATATTTAGTATAGGTGCCGGTCTTGGACCGTAATTTCTCGTCTTAAAGCTCTGCCATAACTACTTCAATAGGCGTATCTACTTATAACGAATCGTGGCACCAGGTGACGAGCCCAAGATCGAGGAAGTGGATGAGGAGCCGTCCGGGGCAGGTTTAGGGCTGTTGAGGGTTTCAAGGTCGGGGGTCTGAGTGTGGCAGCAGAATTCCTTTTTGCACTGGCGCTTTTAACGAAGGAGCTCGGAGTAGCAATGCTTGCACAAGATTGTATGTCTTAACGAAGGGAGGGGGGCATGCCTGAACAAGAACAACGCACTCTTAACGAAGGAGAAGGAGAAAGAGGAGAAGAAAAAGAAGACCAAGACGCTCGGCGGACGAGTCGAAACGGCTCTGAACTGCTTCCCTAACATCATTCCATAGAGTCTTTCGGTCGACAGGGAATGGCAAAACCCACAGAATCGCTAGAATTTCAGATTGCCTTGTTTAAAGTTCACGGAACACCTGTCCTGAGCTAAGGAAGGTGAAGGAGGTCTCGCACGAGTGGGAGCGTCTTGGCGGGTGACAGGTTTGCTGGAAGTTTTTAGGCAAAGGCTTTGAGGTTGCTTCACAGAATTTAAGATATGGGGGAGGGGTGGCAGTGTGTCGGCATGCATTCAGAAACTCCAACATGACACTTCAAATAGCTGAACTCCGAAGCCATGGACAATGGTTCCCTGCATGTCGTTAGGCAGCTGAACAAGAACAAGCCTCTCTGGATGCGCAAGTCCGAAGACGTCACCAACGAGGAGTATGCTTCCTTCTACAAGTCGCTGTCCAACGACTGGGAGGACAGGTCAGTTTGCAGGGTTGATTTCCAGCCGTGCGCCCTGCACCCCTCATCACAGGTAATGGTTCAAGCCTGGGACATGCCTGTGGCGTGAAAAGCTTCTGCAAGTTGTTGGCAGGACCACCTTGCGGTGAAGCACTTCAGCGTCGAGGGCCAGTTGGAGTTCCGTGCGCTGCTCTTCGTCCCGCGCCGGGCGCCCTTTGACCTCTTCGAGAGCAAGAAGAAGCGCAACAACATCAAGCTGTATGTGCGTCGTGTCTTCATCATGGACGACTGCGAGGAGCTGATGCCAGAGTGGCTGAACTTCGTGAAGGGCGTGGTGGACTCGGAGGACCTGCCTCTGAACATCTCCCGCGAGACCCTGCAGCAGAACAAGATCTTGCGAGTCATCAAGAAGAATCTTGTGAAGAAGTGCCTCGAGATGTTCGCAGAGATCGCTGAGAAGAAGGACGACTACAAGAAGTTCTACGAGCAGTTCGGCAAGTGCCTGAAGCTGGGCGTCCATGAGGACTCCACCAACCGCACCAAGGTGGGATACATATTTGCATTGAACTGGTTTCTTGAGTGTGTTCGCTTCCGGACACTTTAGGATGTTGAAGTCGCATGAAAACAAAGCAAGCGTCATTCTCGTTTCGTCTTTGCCAGTTGGCCGAGCTCCTCCGCTACCACACTTCCAAGTCTGGAGACGAGCAGATCAGCCTGACCCTGGGACTGGAATCTGGAGCGAGTGCTTCAGAGTGTGTTTTTCGAGATTGAAGTTCACAGAACCCGATGAGCGTGAACATGCATGCATACGGAGCAGCCTCAGTCACTGTCACCTGAAGCCTGGGGCCTTTGGGACAGGGACAGGGTTTTGAGGAAAGATAGAACCTAGAAGCGTAGCTGTCGGCACATGCTCAGAAGTCCGGCCCCGTCTCAGGAAGGAGTATGTCGACCGAATGAAGGAGGGACAGAACGACATCTATTACATCACAGGCGCCCGTTTGAATGAGAGCCGTCATAAGTGCAGGGGACATGGTTAGCTGCCTCGAAAAGTGCGCCAACCTGATCAGGTGAGAGCATCGCGGCGGTATCTTCCTCTCCTTTCCTGGAGACCCTGCGAAAGAAGGGCATCGAGGTGCCTCAACCCTAAGCCGCCTGAGCTTAGACTGTACGCAGCTTAGGTAAGGTTTCAGGATGGATTCAAACTTGCCCTCGTCGGTACGGTAGGTGCTTTACATGATCGACCCCGTCGACGAGTACTCCGTGCAGCAGCTGAAGGAGTTCGATGGCAAGAAGCTGAAATCCACCACGAAAGAGGGCTTGGACATCGAGGACGAGGACGAGAAGAACCTCGGAAGCACGTACTAAGTTTGTGCTTTCTTGCTGAAGTCATGAGGCAGCTTGCTTCGTGTCAGTAGTTCCGTGATGTCCAAGGAAGAAGCTGGAGGAGATGAAGGCCGAGTTTGAGCCTCTCACCAAGCTGATGAAGGAAGTCCTCGGAGACAAGGTGGAGAAGGTCATCGTTAGCTCTAGGATGGCCGACTCCCCTTGCGTGCTGACCACCTCCGAGTACGGCTGGTCTGCCAACATGGAGCGCATCATGAAGGCCCAGGCCCTGCGCGACAACTCCATGACTTCCTACATGGTCTCCAAGAAGACCATGGAGGTGAACCCGAAGCACTCCATCATGTCGGAGCTGAAGAAGAAGGCCGCTGCCGACAAGTCTGACAAGACGGTGAAGGACCTGATCTGGCTTCTCTTCGACACCTCCCTGCTCACCTCAGGCTTCAACCTGGACGAGCCCACCCAATTCGCTGGCCGCATCCACCGCATGATCAAGCTCGGCCTGAGCATCGACGATGACGATGAGGGCCTGGGCGATGACGACGACCTGCCCCCGCTTGAGGAAGTCGAGGGCGCGGCCGACGAGGCCTCCAAGATGGAGGAGGTCGACTAGGTTCAGGATGTCTGAGTGACTCTGTAGTTCGTACCGCAGCCGTCGGTGCGCACTTGTGCATGATTCCCCAAAACAGTCTCCAGATTCGGCCACATGTACAGCAGGCAGAGTTTGGCGAGAAACCTGATTCAGAGGATCGACTGCGACGAGAAAGTGCCGCGACATTGCACAGGGTGGGGCCTCAGGTTGCACAACCCCGGTGAGCCGTCGATGCGAGAGGTTTCCGGTTTGTTGTCTGCGGCGTCCATCGAGCTCGTAGGCTGAGCTCGTAGGCTGAGGTGTGGCTTCGCAGCACCATCGGCTCAAGTTTTGTCTTTCACGGACGTCTGACTAGCTCGAAAAGCTCCGACGACTGCTGGCTGTGAACTATTATTATTCAATTGTGGCGGGTGGGAGGATTTCTTTTCAATTTAACCTTTCGTTCAAGAGGAGACCGGGGATCTTGGCTTTGCGGAACGCGGGGGGTGGGGGGGTGGTGCGGCGGCACTGTTTTTGTCACAGAAGCAAGGACAATCATGGCGGAGACTTTCGCATTCAATGCAGACATCCAACAGCTGATGAGTTTCTCGGCAGATTCCCAGCAGGTAGACTTGCCGTCACGCATCGTCGGCGTATCTCTAGGAACCGACAGGTTCTTGGTATGTAGTCCCGCTACAGATCTACGGTTCATAAACAGATGCTCGAAAGGATAGGGCTCCGGGGCATGCCGTGTAGGTGATGAGGATGAGCAGCACTTCGCAGCACACAGCTTGTGATCATAGCTTCTACCAGTTGCCGAGGCTTGATCATCAATACCTTCTACTCCAACAAGGAGATCTTCCTGCGAGAGCTCATCTCCAATGCCTCGGATGCAGCTCGAAGCAGCGAGTGCAGTGATTCAGAATCGAGCGCATTAAGTGATTTGCGTCGGACTGGGCATTCCGTTGATTTCTTGGCGGTGGCCTCCTCACTGGTAGACCACTTCACAGCCCCAAACCAAAGATCTCAAGCACAGGCTCTGGACAAGATTCGCTACGAATCGATCACGGATCCAGACAAGATCGAGGCAGGGAGTGTGAGTGTGGGTTCTAATCCCCTTCGACAGTTGGGCTCTCAGATACAGGTTTATCGCATAGGCCTACTGAGCAGTAGCAGCCGCGAGAAGAGTTGGAGCTGCCAGGGTTTGGCATTGATAGGATTTTGTACAGAAGCTGTCGTTATCCTGAGAAACGACGCATCGACAAGCTTCTCAACTGCAGGCGCAGCCCAACTTCTTCATCAAAGCTCCTGGGCGCGATTCGTGCGGTTGGACTGGGCATGCGCAGTATAGGATTTCTAGGCAGGGTCCCGCAGGGTCGATGCCTGTGACTCTTCGCTCAGTGGCTGCGGTTTGTTCAAGTGTGGATCTGAGATCATCCCGGACAAGACCAATTCGACTTTGACCATCGAAGACTCCGGCATCGGCATGACCAAGAACGTTTCTTGACCTTGAGCAAATGGGAGGTTGCGATACTCTCGTCTTCGGCCCGGGTGGCACGTAATAGCAGAACCTGTAGAAGGCACATCTACAAGAGGTATGCCTAGCATTTTTACGTCGTTTGCAGGTCGAGGTCACACCAAAGAAGCAGTCTGAACACGAGTGCTTCCTGAGGAACTGATCAACAACCTCGGGACCATCGTGGCTCGATCGACTCTGTGTTGTTCCCTTGTTGAGGTCTGGGCTTCTTGTAGAACTGGATGCCCCAAAGCAGCAATCCCAAGCTCCACAGCTCTGCTGCTTCTTCCCCATCGAGTACTGAGGCCAAGTCTGGCACCAAAGCCTTCATGGAGGCCAGGAGAAAATGGTTCTTGGGTTGTGGCAGTGAAACGCTTACGAGCCGCGTGTCTTAGACCCCTGGAAGGCCATGGCGGCCGGCGGCGACATCTCCATGATTGGCCAGCTTCTGGGATGCAACGGTTTGCATCGACAGTCTCTCTGGTCTAAGTAAGATGCGCGGGTCGTTGAAGATGGGGAGTGCAGGGACTGTAGCCTTGCTAGAACCAGCCTTTGTGTCGGACTTCCGCCCCCTGCCTGTGCTGACCGTATGGCGCTCCCTGCCTCTCACCCTGACTGTGTAACCTGCGCAGTTATCAGGTTCGGCGTCGGCTTCTACAGCGCATACCTCGTCTCGGACAAGGTCCGCGTCGTCAGCAAGCACAACGACGACGAGTGGCTCGTCAAAACAAGCCAGATCTGCATTCGGAGACGAAAGGTGCCAGGCATGCAAACTCGGCGGATTTTCGTGTCTTTACTTTATAGTAGTAGTGGGCTTTGGGTAGTCTTCGGTAGTGTTTCGGCTGCATCGCATGGAGGCAGCGATTTGGTGCCTTCGGATAGTTTGGCCATGTTTGGTCTTGTTAAGCAAGCTTTCTGTTTCCAGTGCAAACATCCAGTCCATTTTGGGCTAAGAAGCGGGAAAGACTGATTTTTTTCGTCGTCAGCGGCTAGGGGCTTTCCAAACAGTCGTATCGAGGCAGTACATCTTGACTCAGAGCAAAGGGGCCATGTTGGGCCATTTGGAAGAGACTGAGCCTTCCCGTCGCCTGCGGCTGGAGGCTTTCCAAACACTTTCACGAGGCAGTACATCTGGGAGAGCGGCGCCGGCGGATCCTTCACCGTGCAGAAGGACGGCGTGCATGTGGTCATTCTGTTTTCTTGAGTTGGGGAGCTTCAAAGCAGAAGTAGGCGGCAGTTCGCACACGCAGACCTCAGGTTCAGAGGTCTTCAGGATATTTCCGGGCTGGTGCTTGCACAGTGGTATCATTTCGGAAGTCACGGGAGGACACCGAGCTGGTGCACGGCGAGATCAAGCGAGGTACGAAGATTATCTGCTACCTCAAGGAAGACCAGTCCGAGTTCCTCGAGGACGCTGAAGTTTGAGTCTCATCCGCCGCTGCACAGATGCAACAGATGATCCTTTTCGCCCAGTGAGGGAGAAGAAGATGCCTGCCCGCCATTACACACTCCCAATCGCCAAACCTCCAAGCCTTCGTCGCCGACTATGGTTTGCGTTAGCAGTTGCTGTGCAGGAGCGACGCTTGAAGGACTTGGTGAAGAAGCACTCCGAGTTCATCGGCTTCCCCATCGAGCTGTACGTGGAGAAGTCCAAGGAGAAGGAGGTGACTGCCGCTTCGCAGCACAGCCACCGCCCCAGGTGACAGCCGGGATCCCCGCCTCAACATCACCAGATCACCACAAGCCCGGGACCCTGCAGATCTCTACTTGAGCCTGGGGCGTTACCCAGGACTCCGAGGAGGAAGAGGAGGAGAAGAAGGACGAGAAAGAGGGTGCCGGCTGTGGGAGGGGCAGGGGTTGCAAAGCGGGTACTGGCTTGGAAATTGCCGGGTCTGCATTATTGGTATAGGTGCTGATCTTGGACCGTAATTTCTTGTCTTAAAGCTCTGCCCCAACTACTTCAGTAGGCGTATCTACTTAACGAATCGCGGCGCCAGGTGACGAGCCCAAGATCGAGGAAGTGGATGAGGAGCCGTCCGGGGCGGGTTTAGGGCTGTTGAGGGTTTTAAAGGTCGGCGGTCTGAGTGTGGCAGCAGAATTCCTGTTTGCGCTTGCGCTGTTAACGGAGGAGCTCGGCGTAGCATGCCTGAACAAGATTGTATGTCTTAACGAAGGGAGGTTGGCATGCCTCAACAAGAAGAACACACTCTTAACGAAGGAGAAGGAGAAAGAGGAGAAGAAAAAGAAGACCAAGACGCTCGGCGGATGAGTGGAAACGGCTGTGAACTGCTTCCCTGACATCATTCCATAGAGTCATTCGGTCGACAGGGAATGGCAAAACCCACAGAAGCGCTGGAATTTCGGATTGCCTTGTTTAAAGTTCACGGAACACCTGTCCTGAGCTAAGGAAGGTGAAGGAGGTCTCGCACGAGTGGGAGCGTCTTGGCGGGTGCCAGGTTTGCTGGAAGTTTTCAGGCAAAGGCTTTGAGGTTGCCTCACAGAATTTAAGATATGGGTGAGGGGTGGCAGTGTGTCGGCATGCAATCAGAATCTCCAACGTGACACTTCAAGTAGCTGAACTCCCAAGCCATGGACAACGGTTCCCTGCATGTCGTTAGGCAGCTGAACAAGAACAAGCCTCTCTGGATGCGCAAGTCCGAAGACGTCACCAACGAGGAGTATGCTTCCTTCTACAAGTCGCTGTCCAACGACTGGGAGGACAGGTCAGTTTGAAGGGTTGATTTCCAGCCGTGGGCCCTGCACCCCTCATGTCAGGCAATGACTCAAGGCTAGGACATGGCTGTGGCATAGAAAGCTGCTGCAAGTTGTTGGTAGGACCACCTTGCGGTGAAGCACTTCAGCGTCGAGGGCCAGCTGGAGTTCCGTGCGCTGCTCTTCGTCCCCCGCCGGGCGCCCTTTGACCTCTTCGAGAGCAAGAAGAAGCGAAACAACATCAAGCTGTATGTGCGTCGTGTCTTCATCATGGACGACTGCGAGGAGTTGATGCCAGAGTGGCTGAACTTCGTGAAGGGCGTGGTGGACTCGGAGGACCTGCCTCTGAACATCTCCCGCGAGACCCTGCAGCAGAACAAGATCTTGCGAGTCATCAAGAAGAATCTTGTGAAGAAGTGTCTCGAGATGTTCGCAGAGATCGCTGAGAAGAAGGACGACTACAAGAAGTTCTACGAGCAGTTCGGCAAGTGCCTGAAGCTGGGCGTCCATGAGGACTCCACCAACCGCACCAAGGTGGGATACATATTTGCATTGAACTGGTTTCTTGAGTGTGTTCGCTTCCGGACACTTTAGGATGTTGAAGTCGCATGAAAACAAAGCAAGCGTCATTCTCGTTTCGTCTTTGCCAGTTGGCCGAGCTCCTCCGCTACCACACTTCCAAGTCTGGAGACGAGCAGATCAGCCTGACCCTGGGACTGGAATCTGGAGCGAGTGCTTCAGAGTGTGTTTTTCGAGATTGAAGTTCACAGAACCCGATGAGCGTGAACATGCATGCATACGGAGCAGCCTCAGTCACTGTCACCTGAAGCCTGGGGCCTTTGGGACAGGGACAGGGTTTTGAGGAAAGATAGAACCTAGAAGCGTAGCTGTCGGCACATGCTCAGAAGTCCGGCCCCGTCTCAGGAAGGAGTATGTCGACCGAATGAAGGAGGGACAGAACGACATCTATTACATCACAGGCGCCCGTTTGAATGAGAGCCGTCATAAGTGCAGGGGACATGGTTAGCTGCCTCGAAAAGTGCTCCAACCTGATCAGGTGAGAGCATCGCGGCAGTGTCTTCCTCTCCTTTCCTGGAGACCCTGCGAAAGAAGGGCATCGAGGTGCCTCAACCCTAAGCCGCCTGAGCCCGCACTGTACGCAGCTTAGGTAAGGTTTCAGGATGGATTCAAACTTGCCCTCCTCGGTACGGTAGGTGCTTTACATGATCGACCCCGTCGACGAGTACTCCGTGCAGCAGCTGAAGGAGTTCGATGGCAAGAAGCTGAAATCCACCACGAAAGAGGGCTTGGACATCGAGGACGAGGACGAGAAGAACCTCGGAAGCACGTACTAAGTTTGTGCTTTCTTGCTGAAGTCATGAGGCAGCTTACTTCGTTTCAGTAGTTCCCTCATGTCCCAGGAAGAAGCTGGAGGAGATGAAGGCCGAGTTTGAGCCTCTCACCAAGCTGATGAAGGAAGTCCTCGGAGACAAGGTGGAGAAGGTCATCGTTAGCTCTAGGATGGCCGACTCCCCTTGCGTGCTGACCACCTCCGAGTACGGCTGGTCTGCCAACATGGAGCGCATCATGAAGGCCCAGGCCCTGCGCGACAACTCCATGACTTCCTACATGGTCTCCAAGAAGACCATGGAAGTGAACCCAAAGCACTCCATCATGTCGGAGCTGAAGAAGAAGGCCGCTGCCGACAAGTCTGACAAGACGGTGAAGGACCTGATCTGGCTTCTCTTCGACACCTCCCTGCTCACCTCAGGCTTCAACCTGGACGAGCCCACCCAATTCGCTGGCCGCATCCACCGCATGATCAAGCTCGGCCTGAGCATCGACGATGACGATGAGGGCCTGGGCGATGACGACGACCTGCCCCCGCTTGAGGAAGTCGAGGGCGCGGCCGACGAGGCCTCCAAGATGGAGGAGGTCGACTAGGACTAGGATGTCTGAGCCACCCAGCAGTTCGTACCGCAGCTGTCGGTGCGCACTTGTGCGTGATCCCCTCAACACAGTCTCCAGATTCGGCCACATGTACAGCAGGCAGAGTCTGGCGAGAAACCTGATTCAGAGGATCGACTGCGACGAGAAAGTGCCGCGACATTGCACAGGGTGGGGCCTCAGGTTGCACAACCCCGGTGAGCCGTCGATGAGAGGTTTCCGGTTTGTTGTCTGCGGCGTCCATCGAGCTCGTAGGCTGAGCTCGTAGGCTGAGGTGTGGCTTCGCAGCACCATCGGCTCAAGTTTTGTCTTTCACGGACGTCTGACTAGCTCGAAAAGCTCCGACGACTGCTGGCTGTGAACTATTATTATTCAATTGGGGCCGGGTGGGAGGATTTCTTTTCAATTTACCCTTTCGTTCAAGAGGAGACCGGGGATCTTGGCTTTGCGGAACGCGGGGGGTGGGCGGGTGGTGCGGCGGCACGGTTTTTGTCACTGAAGCAAGGACAACCATGGCGGAGACTTTCGCATTCAATGCAGACATCCAACAGCTGATGAGTTTCTCGGCAGATTCCCAGCAGGTAGACTTGCCGTCATGCATCGTCCGCATATCTCTAAGACTCGAACGACGGGTTTCTTGTAATCCGGCTGCAGATCCACAGATCCACGGTTCATAAACAGATGCTCGTAAGGATAGGGTTCCTGGGCATGCCGTGCAGGTGATGCGCATGAGCAGCACTTCGCAGCACATAGCTTGTGATCATAGCTTCTACCAGTTGCCGAGGCTTGATCATCAATACCTTCTACTCCAACAAGGAGATCTTCCTGCGAGAGCTCATCTCCAATGCCTCGGATGCAGCTCGAAGCAGCGAGTGCAGTGATTCAGAATCGAGCCCATTAAGTGATTTGCGTCGGACTGGGCATTCCGTTGATTTCTTGGCGGTGGCCTCTTTACTGGTAGACCACTTCACAGCCCCAAACCAAAGATCTCAAGCACAGGCTCTGGACAAGATTCGCTACGAATCGATCACGGATCCAGACAAGATCGAGGCAGGGAGTGTGAGTGTGGGTTCTAATCCCCTTCGACAGTTGGGCTCTCAGATACAGGTTTATCGCATAGGCCTACTGAGCAGTAGCAACAGCCGCGAGAAGAGTTGGAGCTGCGAAGGTTTGGCATTGATAGGATTTTGTAGAGCAGCTGTCGTTATCCTGAGAAACGATGCATCGATAGCTTCTCAACTGCAGGCGCAGCCCAACTTCTTCATCAAAGCTCCTGGGCCCGTTTCGGATTCGTGTGATTGGACTGGGCATGCGCAGTTTCGGATTTCTAGGCAGGGTCCCGCAGGGTCAATGCCTGTGACTCTTCGCTCAGTGGCTGCGGTTTGTTTGAGTATGCATCTGAGATCATCCCGGACAAGACCAATTCGACTTTGACCATCGAAGACTCCGGCATCGGCATGACCAAGAACGTTCCCCGGCCTTTAGCAACTGGGAGGTTGCGATACTCTCCGCTTGGGCCCGGGTGGCATGTAATAGCAGAACCTGTAAAAGGCACTACCACAAGATTTATGCCTAGCATTTTTGCGTCGTGCCGTTCGAGGTCACACCAAAGAAGCAGTCAGAACACGAGTGCTTCCTGAGGAACTGATCAACAACCTCGGGACCATCGTGGCTCGATCGACTCTGTGTTGTTCCCTTGTTTCAGGTTGAGGTTTTGGGCTACTTGTAGAACTGGATGCCCCCAAGCAGCAATCCCAAGCTCCACAGCTCTGCTGCCTCTTCCCAATCGAGCACTTAGGCCAAGTCTGGCACGAAAGCCTTCATGGAGGCCAGGAGCAAATGGGTCTTGGGTTGTGACAGTGAAACGCTTCCGAGCCGCGTGTCTTAGAACCCTGGAAGGCCATGGCGGCCGGCGGCGACATCTCCATGATTGGCCAGCTTCTGGGACGCAACGGTTTACATCGATAGTCTCTCTGGTCTAAGTAAGATGCGCGGGTCGTGGAAGATGAGGAGTGCAGGGACTGTAGCATTGCTAGAACCAGCCTTTGTGCGGCACTTCCGCCCGCTGCCTGTGCTGATCGTATGGCTCTCCCTGCCTCTCACCCTGACACTGTAGCCTGCCCAGTCCCATCCCGATCAGGTTCGGCGTCGGCTTCTACAGCGCATACCTCGTCTCGGACAAGGTCCGCGTCGTCAGCAAGCACAACGACGACGAGTGGCTCGTCAAAACAAGCCTGCAAAGAGATCTGCATTCGGAGACGAAAGGTGCCAGGCATGCAAACTCGGCGGTTTTTCGTGTCTTTGCTTTGTAGTTGTAGTCGGCTTTGGGCAGTCTTTGGTAGTGTTTCGGCTGCATCGCACGGAGGCAGCGATTTGGTGCCTTCGGATAGTTTGGCCATGTTTGGTCTTGTTAAGCAAGCTTTCTGTTTCCAGTGCAAACATCCAGCCCATTTTGGGCTAAGAAGCGGCAAAGACTGTTTTTTTTCGTCGTCAGCGGCTAGGGGCTTTCCAAACAATCGTATCGAGGCAGTACATCTTGACTCAGAGCAAAGGGGCCATGTTGGGCCATTTGGAAGAGACTGAGCCTTCCGGTGGCCTGCAGCTGGGGGCTTTCCAAAACATTTGCGAGGCAGTACATCTGGGAGAGCGGCGCCGGCGGATCCTTCACCGTGCAGAAGGACGGCGTGCATGTGGTCATTCTGTTTTCTTGAGTTGGGGAGCTTCAAAGCAGAAGTAGGCGGCAGTTCGCTCACGCAGACCACAGGTTCAGAGGTCTTCAGGATATTTCGGGGCTGGTGCTTGCACAGTGGTATCATTTCGGAAGTCACGGGAGGACACCGAGCTGGTGCACGGCGAGATCAAGCGAGGTACGAAGATTATCTGCTACCTCAAGGAAGACCAGTCCGAGTTTCTCGAGGACGCTGAAGTTTGAGTCTCATCCGCCGCTGCACAGATGCAACAGATGAATTTTTTCGTCCAGTGAGGGAGAAGAAGATGCCTGCCGGCCATTACAGGCCATTACATACTCCCAATCGCCAAACCTCCGAGCCTTCGTCGCCGACTATGGTTTGCGTTAGTAGTTGCTGCGCAGGAGCGACGCTTGAAGGACTTGGTGAAGAAGCACTCCGAGTTCATCGGCTTCCCCATCGAGCTGTACGTGGAGAAGTCCAAGGAGAAGGAGGTGACTGCCGCTTTGCAGCACAACCACCGCCCGCGGTGACAGCCGGGATCCCCACCCCAACATCACCAGACCACCACAAGCCCGGGACCCTGCAGATCTCTACTTGATCCTGGGGCATTACCCAGGACTCCGAGGAGGAAGAGGAGGAGAAGAAGGACGAGAAAGAGGGTGCCGGCTGTGGGAGGGGCAGGGGTTGCAAAGCGGGTACTGGCTTGGAAATTGCCGGGTCTGCACAATTAGTATAGGTGCCGACCTTGGACCGTAATTTCTTGTGTTAAAGCTCTGCCCTAACTACTTCAATAGGCGTATCTACTTAACGAATCGTGGCACCAGGTGACGAGCCCAAGATCGAGGAAGTGGATGAGGAGCCGTCCGGGGCGGATTTAGGGCTGTTGAGGGTTTTCAAAATTCGGGGGTCTGAGTGTGGCAGCAGAATTCCTGTTTGCGCCTGCGCTGTTAACGAAGGAGCTCGGAGTAGCATACCTGAACAAGATTGTATGTCTTAACGAAGGGAGGGGGGCATGCTTGAACAAGAACAACACACTCTTAACAAAGGAGAAGGAGAAAGAGGAGAAGAAAAAGAAGACCAAGACGCTCGGCGGATGAGTGGAAACGGCTCTGAGCTGCTTCCCTAACATCATTCCATAGAGTCATTCGGTCGACAGGGAATGGCAAAACCCACAGAAGCGCTGGAATTTCGGATTGCCTTGTTTAAAGTTCACGGAACACCTGTCCTGAGCTAAGGAAGGTGAAGGAGGTCTCGCACGAGTGGGAGCGTCTTGGCGGGTGACAGGTTTGCTGGAAGTTTTTAGGCAAAGGCTTTGAGGTTGCCTCACAGAATTTAAGATATGGGGGAGGGGTGGCAGTGTGTCGGCATGCATGCAGAAACTCCAACATGACACTTCAAATAGCTGAACTCCGAAGCCATGGACAATGGTTCCCTGCATGTCGTTAGGCAGCTGAACAAGAACAAGCCTCTCTGGATGCGCAAGTCCGAAGACGTCACCAACGAGGAGTATGCTTCCTTCTACAAGTCGCTGTCCAACGACTGGGAGGACAGGTCAGTTTGAAGGGTTGATTTCCAGCAGTGCGCCCTGCACCCCTCATCACAGGTAATGGTTCAAGCCTGGGACATGCCTGTGGCGCGAAAAGCTTCTGCAAGTTGTTGGTAGGACCACCTGGCGGTGAAGCACTTCAGCGTCGAGGGCCAGTTGGAGTTCCGCGCGCTGCTCTTCGTCCCCCGCCGTGCGCCCTTTGACCTCTTCGAGAGCAAGAAGAAGCGCAACAACATCAAGCTGTACGTGCGTCGTGTCTTCATCATGGACGACTGCGAGGAGCTGATGCCAGAGTGGCTGAACTTCGTGAAGGGCGTGGTGGACTCGGAGGACCTGCCTCTGAACATCTCCCGCGAGACCCTGCAGCAGAACAAGATCTTGCGAGTCATCAAGAAGAATCTTGTGAAGAAGTGCCTCGAGATGTTCGCAGAGATCGCTGAGAAGAAGGACGACTACAAGAAGTTCTACGAGCAGTTCGGCAAGTGCCTGAAGCTGGGCGTCCATGAGGACTCCACCAACCGCACCAAGGTGGGATACATATTTGCATTGAACTGGTTTCTTGAGTGTGTTCGCTTCCGGACACTTTAGGATGTTGAAGTCGCATGAAAACAAAGCAAGCGTCATTCTCGTTTCGTCTTTGCCAGTTGGCCGAGCTCCTCCGCTACCACACTTCCAAGTCTGGAGACGAGCAGATCAGCCTGACCCTGGGACTGGAATCTGGAGCGAGTGCTTCAGAGTGTGTTTTTCGAGATTGAAGTTCACAGAACCCGATGAGCGTGAACATGCATGCATACGGAGCAGCCTCAGTCACTGTCACCTGAAGCCTGGGGCCTTTGGGACAGGGACAGAGGTTTTGAAGAAAGATAGAACCTAGAAGCGTAGCTGTCGGCACATGATCAGAAGTCCGGCCGCGTCTCAGGAAGGAGTATGTCGACCGCATGAAGGAGGGACAGAACGACATCTATTACATCACAGGTGCCCTCTGGATGAGAGCCGTCATACGTGCAGGGGACATGGTTCGCTGCCTTGGAGATCAGAATCATAGTGCCCCAGCCTGATCAGGTGAGAGCATCGCGGCAGTGTCTTCCTCTCCTTTCCTGGAGACCCTGCGAAAGAAGGGCATCGAGGTGCCTCAACCCTAAGCCGCCTGAGCCGAATAGGTAAGGTTTCAGGATGGACTCAATCTTGCACTCCTCGGTACTGTAGGTGCTTTACATGATCGACCCCGTCGACGAGTACTCCGTGCAGCAGCTGAAGGAGTTCGATGGCAAGAAGCTGAAATCCACCACGAAAGAGGGCTTGGACATCGAGGACGAGGACGAGAAGAACCTCGGAAGCACGTACTAAGTTTGTGCTTTCTTGCTGAAGTCATGAGGCAGCTTACTTCGTTTCAGTAGTTCCCTCATGTCCCAGGAAGAAGCTGGAGGAGATGAAGGCCGAGTTTGAGCCTCTCACCAAGCTGATGAAGGAAGTCCTCGGAGACAAGGTGGAGAAGGTCATCGTTAGCTCTAGGATGGCCGACTCCCCTTGCGTGCTGACCACCTCCGAGTACGGCTGGTCTGCCAACATGGAGCGCATCATGAAGGCCCAGGCCCTGCGCGACAACTCCATGACTTCCTACATGGTCTCCAAGAAGACCATGGAAGTGAACCCAAAGCACTCCATCATGTCGGAGCTGAAGAAGAAGGCCGCTGCCGACAAGTCGGACAAGACGGTAAAGGACCTGATCTGGCTTCTCTTCGACACCTCCCTGCTCACCTCAGGCTTCAACCTGGACGAGCCCACCCAATTCGCTGGCCGCATCCACCGCATGATCAAGCTCGGCCTGAGCATCGACGATGACGATGAGGGCCTGGGCGATGACGACGACCTGCCCCCGCTTGAGGAAGTCGAGGGCGCGGCCGACGAGGCCTCCAAGATGGAGGAGGTCGACTAGGTTCAGGATGTCTGAGTGACTCTGTCGTTCGTACCGCAGCCGTCGGTGCGCACTTGTGCATGATCCCCCAAAACAGTCTCCAGATTCGGCCACATGTACAGCAGGCAGAGTCTGGCAAGAAACCTGATTCAGAGGATCGACTGCGAATCAAAAGTGTCTGGCCAAGTCACATCAATGTCCTACGACGACAACTCCCAAGCCCTGCCAGAAAGGCACTCTGAAAACGTATCGCGCCCGAAATACAAGCCTTGTTTTGTCCTCGGATTGTCTCGCCTAGAGGCATGATTCTTGCTAGCCTGGGGCGGGACAAGCAAGAAAGACCCCTCAAGCAAGAATACGTGGAGTACCTATTCATGAGGAACTTTGCGGTGCTTATACCACAAAACTCACAAAAACCGGTGCAAAGGATCAGAGGACTCCAAAACCCTATCCTTAAACCCTAAACCCTAAACCCTAACCCCCCCCCCAAGACCCTAACCCTAAACCCTAAACCCTAACCCCCCCCCAGACCCTCACCCCAGATTCTAAACCAGCAGAGCCTCGAATCAGTGAAGGAGAGTTCCGGTTGCCCGTAGCATGGACTCTATTATTATTATTACTATTATGACTATTATTATTATTATTGTTATGACTATTATTATTATTATTGTGACGATTATTATTATGACTATTAGTATTACTTTTACTATTATTACTAAGCAACAAGGAAAATGTCCACAAACCTATAGAACACATCAAGCCCTTACAACACCCTACAAAATCCGGCAACGCCCTTGTTGAGCCTTTATCGGATCCTGACACAACCCTGTAAAACTTCAGCAAAACCATATAAATCGTAATACAGCCCTTAACGCAACCCTACAAATCTTTATTGAACCTCCATGCAACGTTTTATGCGATCGTACAGAGCCCTTACAAAGCCCCGAGGAGCCTGATAAGATCCTATACAACCCTCATAACGCCTTACAGAAACCTTTTACAACCATGTACAGAACTTTAAACCCTCGCAAGACGTGTGCAAAACCTTATAGAACCACAGTAACATCTTATGGAAACCCTAAGCCCTGAACCATAACAACATAACCCCAAAACCCAAAAACCTACACCCCTAACCCTAAACCGTAAGCCCTAAACCCCAGACCCCTAAGCCGTAAACCCTAAACCCTGAACCCTGAACCCTGAACCCTAAACCCCTGAACCCCTAAAAAGCCCCTAAGCGGCCTCCAGAAAACGGCACGGGGACCCAGGCCCTCGTTTCCTCAGATGCCCTGGCCGAAGAGGTGGGGTTCGCTTCTTTCCAACAAGAAGCTGCCGTGGTACCGAGTAGGGTTTTGGGCTTTGGGGTTTAGGGTTTAGGGGTTTAGGGTTCAGGGTCTTTTTGGGGTTTTGGGTTTAGGTCTTAGGGTTTGGGGTTTTTAGACACATTGACATGAAGAAAACATGCTTGTCTGTCCACCTGCTGGCCTGTCTGCCCCATGTATTTGCAGGGATTCTTGCTAGCGCTGGGGTTTGGAGTTTCGGGTTTGGGGTTGGGTGGGGAGTTTCCAGGTGTGCGTCCCGCACGAGAAACTACACGCAAATAGTAGGCCAGTAGGCCAGTATCGATTGCAAACGTGCTCCTTGTTGGTTCTACAAGAACCAGTAAGTAGGGTTTACAGTTTCAACGGTTTAGGGTTTTTATGTTAGGGTTTAGGGAGTTGTGGGTTTTGGGACGACCCTGCACCTTAAGCCCTAAACCTTCTTATCTAGGACCTAGACTAGGCCCTTATTCCCTTTTTTAGGGTTCAGGTTCCCTTATAAGCCCTTTAAACCAAAAAAGGCGCCCCTTTTATTGCTAGCTTACTCTTGGGTCTAGTTATAGCATCCTAAACCCTAAACCCCAAAATTGTGGCCTTTAAAGGAACCCCTTCGAAATCCTAAGCACCTTCTTATGTAGTTTTGCACTCCGAGCACCGAACGTGGCTCTTAACCCCGAGACGGCCCAAGCCCTCAAAAAAGAAGGGGTTCCTTTGTAGGGTTACCAGGTAGGGCTTTGGGACATTTTATGTTTGCTCTTATTGGGCTTAAGAGGATCTTACCTACTAAGCCTAGGGTCGAGGGCCTCAGGGGCTAGGAATAACGAGACGCAAGATTTATCGTCCCTATATGTAAGTATTCAAAAATAACATCCCGCATTCAGGCCCCTATATTGTAGAACCCTTATAGATCCCTTATGGTAGCCCTTATAGATCCCTCTTAAAGGAACCGGCCCGACATGAAGCCCAACACCTCTGCAAGCGCTGGGCCTTCATTCCAAAACAGCAGTGAGGGCTCCGGGGTGGAGTGCCCGTATGCGTAGGATTGCCAGGTTGCCCGTTAGGCTTTAGGGATTTGGGGTCAAGGGCTTCAGGGTTTAGGCTTTTGGGGGTTCAACTTTAGGATATTGCAGAGGTCGGCGAGGCGCTGATGGAAAGATTCGGCTGGAGGGTGTCCCTCGCGAACCCTGATTTGGAGGCACCTCGTGCAATCACAGACAGGCTTCACGATTTGGGAAGGGGGGGGGGGTTTGTGCTTGAGGTGTTGGGACATGGTGGTGTTTTGGGATTAGGGTTTGGTGTTCAGGATTTACTGTTGGGTTTAGGATTCAAGGTTCCAGAGTTTTAGGGTTTGGGGCTTGAAAGCTTGGGGTTTGGCTTTGGGGGCTGAGCTTCTCGACGGAACTAGTGTTTTTGTGTTGGTTGTGGGTGCTTTCCGCTGTGGATGCTCCGGTGCCACGATGCATCGACCATTGATCGATACGTCAGAGAGAAGGGCAGCTACCAGACCGCCTTAACCCAGACCCCGGGGAGGATCTAGAAGGTAGATCCCCTCATTTGGGGCCCTATACTACTAAGGGCATTTTATAGGAACCGCCATTAAGGGATCCAAAGGCCGGCCTTCAGCAGGAAGCTCGAAACCCAGAGAAAGTCCCCACACCGCTGAACCGTAAAAACCCTGGCCCTCGCCCCGGACCCTCAACCCTAAAAGGGGTTTGTGGTTTTGAGGTTCGGAAGAATAATTTTGGGGCCTAGTTTGCTTAAAAGTTTTAGGATTCCATGCGCGCGCGAGATATGGTTTGCGGTTCAGGGCTTTGGGCATCTAAGCTTCAAGCTCCAACCTAAACCCTAAACCCCAGCAGAGGGAAAAACCACAGCAGCTACTCCTTGCACAATCCCTCCGTGGGTCACAAACCCTACTTGGAAGCTGATGGGACGTAGTAAGTAAGGATATAGTAAGGTAACTATATTTAGTTATATCTACTTATAACCCCAATTAAGGTACTTATAGCCCTAGTTACTAAGTCCCATGATCCTCCAAATAACCCATTTCTAGACGTGCGGAAGCCTGAGCCGACCGTCCTGCAGCCGTCAAGGTTTCGGGTTCGCCATGGGGCTTTAGGTTTGAAAGTTAAGGGTTTAGGGCGGCTGTATTGAAAGGGCCCAGGGCTTTACCACGCAGGGTCTTGGAAAATTCATGTATATTGCAGCCTGTCACTTGTAATCTGCGGGTCCGAAGAATTGGTAACAGTATTCCTTAGGCTTCCTATCTGTAGTAACTATACCGTAATACGCCCTTAAGCCTTCTTCTAAGTATTCAGGCGCATCTTCATGTCGTTCTCTTAATTTTTTGGCCTTCTTCGCGACTTTAAATGCAATCTACTCCTCAAGCGGTGGTCGCAGAACAGAGGTTCAACATCCGGTCTGAATTGAGGGTTCTACCATTCATCGATTTGCCATTGCTTTTGACTCCTGCCGATGGCTTCCTGGCCCAACTCCTGGTGGCAGGACACGTCCTCCTTGGGATGTGGGGGGATTTCGGGCGTTTCGGCGTTGAGAGTTTCCAGGGGGTCTTACGGCTTGAGGGTTTCGCGGTTTTGGGGGGTGTGAGGTCCTGCGGTTCTTTGTGTTTTGGCTTGAGGTTGGGGGGCGGCTAGAGTCTGCGGGTTCAGACTATTTTTGGGGAGCCGGAGTGCTACATCCTGAACCTTGAAGCCTTAAATGGGAGTTTCCGATATAGGGGACCCTCATCTAGCACCCTAAATAATAGGATCCCTAATATAAGGACCCCAAAATAAGGCGCCCTTCATTTTCGGAAGCCTTAGATTTCTTAAGCTCCAAGCCTTCAACACCAAAGCCACAAACTGCCATAGACCTCTACCAGAGAGGCCTCGAAGTCTGTAAGCCCCGAACCTCAAAGCCCGACCCTTCTTGGAGGGTCGGTTTAGGGTCTAGGGTTTGGGGGGTTTAGGGGTTTAGGGTTTACGGCTTTAGGGCTTTAGGGTTTAGGGTGTAGGGTTTAGTAGTGCTTATAGAGTGATGCGCAAGATATCGCCAATTAGCATGTAATTTTCGGGTACTTATAACCCTGCTTGCTACCTACATAATTACTAAGTCCACCGACCTTCCAAGTGAGGGTCCAAGTGGTCCTTATGTGCGGTTCTTGGTGCCCAAAAATCAAACCCGAAGTCCTGTAATAGGGAGTACTTGGACCCTTAAACCACCTTAACAGCCCCCTAAACCCTAAACCCTAAACCCCCTAAACCCTAAACCCTAAACCCTAAACCGAGCCGAAGCTCCGGAACACCAGGAGGGCTGGTGGTGTAGCAGCCATTGCCTCAGACCACCAGGGCTTTCACTATATGGGAGTTTCCGAACATAGGGGACCCGAATATAGTACCCTAAATAGTAGGATCCCTATTCTAAGGACCCCAAAATAAGGTACCCTCAATTGTCGGAAACTCCCATATCCGTACTCCCAGATCTGGGTTTCTGAACTCTGCAGAGCAAAACCCGACACCTCTAAACCCCAAAGTCCAAAAGCCGGAAGCTCCTAGCCAACAAGCCCTCGAACCCCAAAACGGCCGAAGACCCTGCTGGATCCCTACAAATCCTGAGCGACTTTCGCTTAACGATTCAATCCCGTCCTTAAAGAGCCGCGCATGCTGGAACCTCGAGTGCTTTACAAGACCTTACGGGGTTTTT